AGGAAAGTCAGAGGCATGAGTGATTGTGCTAAGATGGGCTGCAGGCAGAATGGAGTTGGGTCCAACTTCTACCACCACCATGTCACGTGACCTTAAAGTGTGCTTTCCCCCTCTACAGGAGCCCCCTCTGGAGAGGGAGGGTTTGTAGAGAGAGGTCACTGAGATCTCTTCCAGCTCTGATATTCCCAGGCGCTTAGGGCTGTGCTGGTCAAAAAGTTGTAGGGAAGAAGTGGACGATGAGCCTTGCTCATTGGTGCAATCCAGAATGGAACTTGGGCAGCAAGGAGCACATGCCTCCACAGCTGGCCCTTCACCACTGACCCCCAGGGTGTCTCCTGATGGCTCTAATGTCCCACCTGGATAATACGACTATACATCTGAACAGTAATTTCCCACTGACCAAGCCCTGTACACGCTCACACGTCTCCTGTGCTCTCACGATAACCTGTCAGCTAGGATAAGCAGGGCGGATCTTACTAACCTGATTTCACAGAGGAGGAAACAGAGACTCAGAGGAGGGAAAAAACTGGCTCAAGGTTCCACTGGAAATTAGAGGCAGAGCCCAGAGCAGGGTGCAGGAGAGAAATGAGGTGCTCCACGCTTCTCCAAGTGGTGTCCACTCGCTCCTTCCCCTCCACCACCCACCAGCATCCTCTCGCAGGTGTGGTGCCGACACCGCCGTTGTGCAGCACACCAGCTGTGCTCTCATTTCATGATCCGGCAGGCAGCCACTTTGATTTGCTGCTAATTCTTTGTTTTAAAAAGATTCACGACTCAATTACATCAGGTAACAATAGCTCACAGTCAATAATACAAAACACAAATCCAATAAACATCCATTCTGACCAGGGGACATGGATTTAGATGAGGAAAAACAAAAAAATTACAGCATCAGCTCGTTGAGAAGAGTATCTTGTAATTTCCAGTATATTGGAACCACTGCGTGTCATTGTCCCCATTTGAGTGGCAGGTATATTAATTTGTTGTCATTTGTCAACCATCAAAAATAAATTGTTTACAAGGCATTGAGAGAAAGCTTCAGAGATTCAGACTGAGGTGATTATTCTGGCACGAGTTTGTGTAACATGATTCATATGGTTCCAGGGTCTTCAGAAGTGCCAAGGCTGGCCTGTGTTCCCACTGGCTCCCCAGAGAGGTGGGTCCCTGGTGAAACTGAACAGCCTTGACCCCAGGCCCCCTTGGCCACACCCTGCTCCACTTACTGTCCTTCTTTCTAGGAATCAAAGCCTCATTCACTCACCCCTTTCTGCTTCACAGAAGTCACCGCTAGGAGAGGAATGGACACCAGGCTCACCAGGGTACATCAGGACAGCAGCCACTATTTATTGCTCCCTGACAACCCTCTAGGTACTAAATTAGGTCCTTTATAGACATTATCTCATTTAATTCTCACAACAACCTTCATGGTAGACATTGTTATCCCCCTTTTATAGGTGAGGAAACTGGAGCTCAGAGAGGGTAAATAACCTACCCAAGGTCACACAGCTAGTGAGTAACACCAGCAGGGCCAGGACCAGGGGAGGTAAGCAAGGTGCTTCAAATAGAAAATTTAAGAAGGCACTGGCTCTCAGGGTGGATGGGTTACAGGATCAGCACCTGAGACGGAGGTGCCTCACCCAGCTCCTGGCCCTGAGTAACAGAGCTGGAATCTGGATCCAGGTCTATCTGCATTCAAGCCCATGCTTTTTTCACTGTGGCACAGCCCACTTCAGAGGAGATCAGCCTTGTAGTAGCAACTAGAAGCTTCCAAAGGAGTGAAGCTCTGTGGTGGGACCTCAGGCCTCAGAGGGCTGATGACAGAGGACTGCTTCCCACACTTAGTCCAGGCAGGCAGTTGCCTGCTCCCCATGACTTTAAGCAGTCCCTAGTCCAGGCTGGAAATGTGGGCCTGAGGCCACTGCACAGGAAAGCAAAATCGGCTGCTGACACCTGGTTGCCAAGCTCTACTCTCTACTGAGTGCTGACTCCCACAGAGTCTGACCTTGCACTTGGCATTGGTTTGCAGTCTTTTCAAATACACTACTTATCCCCATGAGGCCAGGGGTCCTTGTCCTCTCTTTTTTTCTTAGTAGGTGAGGCTAAGGCTCCAAGAAGTTAACCAAAGTTGCCCCAAGTCACACAGCCAGCAGAGCACCCAGCGTATGACTCAGAGCTCAGGGCTCTTTCCACCCCACCTCACAGCCAACAATTAGGTCAAGACCTCAATGGGGCTGGCATTCAGATTTGGTTGGGGGCAGGAGAAATAGGAAAGAAGGCTTAGGCAGGAACAAACAACTTCTGAAATATAATAATTTGGCTAAATTTAAACATGTGAAAGAGTTCAGAATGATTCATAATGCATGCAGATTGATGCAGATGACTATGCAAATGATGCAAAAAGGGATGAGAAGGGTACCACTTACCCCTCAGCCATAAGCTGGAGTAGGCAGAACAAGGACTCCGTCTCGGGCAGCAGTTTTCCAAGCTACACACCTTCAGGTTGAAAAGACTTTCTTATGCAACCTGACAAAGCCCCAGAAACCCGGAGCCATGAGCACAACAGAGGTGGGCCTGTCCACTTTGCTGTCTCTGGACTCTACACCGTCTCTAAGACCCCCACCATTCTCACCACCCCTCACCCCGGGCTTCCCTTCTCTGAGCTAAATAATTCTGCCTTCTTTCCTTTTACCAATAAGCTTTTCTTTTTCCTCAGCTTTTTAATTGTCCTTATCATCTTCTCCATTTCTAATGGGTCAGGAGCAAGTGTTTGGCTGAGGGGCAGAAGGAATTAGGATGGACAATAGCTTCTCAGACAACCACGCTTATTGTGCGTCCATGTGAGCCTCACAGCAGCATATTGGAGAGGAAATGTAGGGCGTTTGGACCAGCTGATCCGCTGCCACTGATCAGCTTTGTGGCCTCAGATGAGTCACTTAATCCCTCTGAGCCTCAGTTTCCTCACCTGTCGAATGAGATGACTAACGTCTTCTGTTTATGGCTGTTGGGGGATGCCATATGCGTTCATGCCTGGCACACTATAGGATACTCAGGAATTGACCTCTACTTCCCTCTGTGGACCCACAACCCCCGCCTCCCCACTTCAGCCACCTGCTGCAGTCAGACACACCACTGCCTCTTCGCTTCCATTCACACAGCCAGACTCCTGCCCTCCACCTCTTTCTGCTCGTCTGAGAGTCCAAACCCATCCAGCATCTCCACAGTGAAATCAACTTCAAAACTCCACCCCCCAGCCCCACAACCAACCAAGACCTGCAGTGTGCCGCTGCCTCCCATTCCTGTCAGTCATCCATCTCCCTCAGGGGCCCTGAGCACCTGACGGCCCTGAGTTTGTGCAGAGATTTGCCACTTTCTTGGAGCTTTTGCCCCATTATCTCTTGATGTTGAACCTCCCCACTACCCTGTGGGTTCATAAAAGCAGACATGGTTCTATTTGACTAGAAAGAAGCTGGGACTATGAGAGGACACACCTAGGAAATGGTCTGCTCTGATCATGGAAGCCCAGAGCCCTTTGGTCCCTCCACCTTGCCTCCCCAGTATAGCCGCCCTTATGGCGAGATTTCTCATTTCATAACTGTGACCGTCACCCCACTTTCTTTGTAAGCCCCTTGAGGGCCTGGAGACATCTCAGGTCTCCTCTTATGCACACAGCCTTCTGCCACAGCCAGCTCGCAGGGGGCTCCAATCAGTGCCTGGCCACCGACAGGGAGATGGGCACCAGACTCTCCTTTGCGCTCCACGGAGACCTCCGTTCCTCACCTTCCGTGTTAGCAGTCAGCCAGCCCTCCAGGCTTGTCTCTATAGAAAGGGCCTGAGCTCCACCTTAGGAGAGCCCCCAGGAGGCCGCTCGCACATTGGGAATGTGGGATATTTCCTAGAATTATAGGTGGAAAAGCCACCTGTGTGCACATGAGCAAAGCTGCCTTATATCTCTTCCTGGAAGCTTTTCGTAAAGGACCTTGGATCTGAATACACAGGGACATGGAAACCTCCTGACTCCCTTTCCCTGGCAGCCGGTCTCTGGTGTGGCATTTGCAGTTGGTCCCCTTGCTGTCTTCCAGATACATAGCTCTTCTGATACAGTTCACCAAATTGAGTTCTTTTTTCCCATCCTTGCTTGACTTCATCTCAGCAACCTAAGAGGCAGCAGAAATAATCCCGTGTCCTCACAGTCTGTTTTTATTTTCCTCATGATTTGTTGTTTGTTGTCTGCACACATATTGCTCCAGAAGGAGTTACTGGCAGGGTGGGAATAAACAGTCTGTGCTCATAGACACCACTCTCCTCTATCATTCTACATGGGACCACTGTGTGTCTAGACCTCGTGGGGAGACTTTAAGACTTTGTATCAAGTCAATTGCTGCTACTTCCACCATTAATAATAATAATCATAAATATTTATTGAGTGCTTATCATGTGCCAGCCACAATTCTAAGATTTGGGGTCTTAGTTCCTTTAATCCTCACAACACACATGGGCTAGAAGATACATTCTCTTATCCCCATTTGACAGATGTGGAACCAGAATGTTAAGTTACTTGTCTAAGGTCACATGAGTCTTTGATCTTGGACAGGGAGAGTAATCCATATTGGGAAATCCCAGGTATCCAGGACCCCATCACCCCAACACCCCACATTAATACAGACTCTCTCTGTCCTCCTCCTCTCTCTTGCTCTCTCTCTCCTCCCTGCCCCCTGCCCCCCGCATTCTTCTCTCTCTCTTTCTCTCTTGCACCCCTTACTAGTTCTTTATCTTCCTAGCTCTGTGAGTGAGGCAATTCCCTGGCCCTCTTCTCTAAACTTCACTTTCCTCTCCTGATAGTGGGGAAAGGAACCCTCCTTGGGGACGTCATGGGCTGATGTGGGTGGGAACCCTCAGGATGGGGACGGTGGTACACTTGGCCCACTGGATGCTGCTGGGTTGGCAGGAAGGGGTCAGTTTTTGTACCAGGGCAGGAGCCCATGTGCTTTGTTCCATTGCAGCATCTCGGGCTATGGAGCTGCTGGCGGGAAAGGCGGGAAGAACACCATGATGCGGTCCCACGGCGTGTCTGTGCTGGGCATCTTCAACCTGGAGAAGGACGACATGCTGTACATCCTGGTCGGGCAACAGGGGGAAGACGCCTGCCCCAGCGTAAGTGCCCAGAGCGGGGGTCTCTCCTCCACACTCAGCAGGACCCAGGCAGGCCCCTCGGAGGGCACCAACGCTGGACACACTCCTTCTGAGAGCTCACATCAAAGACGGCAGGACTCGCCCCTTGCCCTGCCCTTTCCAGGGCCGTTCGGGTGCATGGGAAAGCAGGCGGTGTGGCTGTTGGGATCTCACATCCCCACAGGGAACAAGGCCAAGGCATGGGTCTCATAAGCAATCCTTAAAACTGAGGAACTGAATCCTACTTGAATGGGCAAATGATAGTTCTCAGCAGAAGTAGGAGCTGAAGCCCACTTCCTAAACTTTCCTGCTAGGGCACCGTTGTCTTCAGCCATATTGTTACAACCAGGAAAGCACCGTGTCAAACATTTCTCATTCAGCTCAAAGTCACAGACTCATAGCCACATATATGTACATAAATGCATAGAAAAAGTTCTGAGAGGTACAGATAACAGTGATTTCTTCGGGGAGGGGACTAGAGTTGAGGGGGCTTTGTCGGTTATGTCTGATACTGTTACCAAAAGAATGCATTCATATATTATTTGTTGTTTGTATGATTAAAAGTAAAAAGAAAAACTTGTAAAGCACAGACTCAGAGCTGGGAGACCATGTAATGCACGTTCCCCGTTTTACAGATGAGAAGAGGGAGACCGCTGAGATGAAGGGACTTGTCCAAAGTCACTGGTAGGGATTCTGGCCCCTGATTTCACTGCCCGACACTTGCTTGGACCTTGGTTTCTACAGCTTTTTTTCCCTTTTCCACTTATAGCCCATCACTTCACAAGCCAGACTACCATCCTTTGCAACCCCAGAGATAGCCTGTCATTGGTTCCTGACCCCACTTGGGTGTCCAGCTGTCAAAGAGGGACAGTTCCAATAGCAGGACTTAAGAAAGCCCATAGTGGTTTAAAATTCCCAGGAGAATGAGATAGTGAAGACTAATAAAGCAGGAGCCGTGCAAACTCCAAGCACCCCGGTTTTTTGCTTCTTGCCTATGTTGGGAGGAGGCAGGACCCTGGCAGGAACTCAGCACCTGCAGGATGTGTCTCCCCATCGGGCCAGGCCCCACCCTCACCTGAAGCCTGGTTTCTGGCCCAGTGGGCAGCGCTGGAACAGGGAGCTGCGTTCTAGTGCCCAGGACCCAGGGCTTCTTCTCCAGGAAATTATTCGAGAGCAGCTTTGGAGGACAGATGTGGGAACGAGGGCTACTGAGAAAGCAGTTCAGTTCCACAAAATAAACTCAGGGCTCCTAAGAGCTGGGTCTCAGGCTGGGAGCAAGCAGTAAAGCAGACGGATCCCCCACCCCCACTTACGGGGTTAAAACAAAGCAACAGCAGTAAGCTCTGCAGGTGCAGCCTCGGCATGAGAAATGTCTGGACTCCAACTTTTATTTAGCAACTATAGTCAGGATTTTCCAACCTGATATAATATATTAAATCATTAAATTACAGACTACTGTAATTTTCGCAGGAATTTATTGAGTGCTAATGTAATTCTTTCATCTAAGCAGAAAAATTGCATTGACTTCTGCAAGGGACTTTTACTTGATTGGATTGTAATCAGTTATGTCTTTTCACAGGACTGCATCCTTTTTTTTTTTTTAATTCAATTGTAATCTACTTGTTCCCCTGGGTTGTTGCACTTTATCATTTTATTAATCAACCTACTTGCTCTCGAACTTTATCGATGCGCAGGGAGAGTTCCAAAGAAGCTGATTCTCAGCCGGGGATGGAGGGCAGCCCTCTCTGCTGGTCAGGCCCGGCATAGCATGGACATGGGGGAAACGTAACTGGTCTTCCAGGTTGCTCCACACCTCCATCTCGCAGGAGTCACTGGGAGAGGGAGAAAGAAAGCCCATTTGCAGGCACTACCTCAATCTCTACTCCTCCCTGAGCAGAAGAACCGTGTTTAGAGAGGATCCTCTATAGAATGAAGTAGACTCTAAGAATTAAACTGCAGGATTTGGCAGCTTTGCTGGTTCAACTGCACATCTATGCAGTCACTCTTCCTTTGCGCCTGGCCACATCTGAGCCTAGAGCAGGTTCCAGCTGCTAGAAACCCCACACACATCCCCCTCAGCCCATTTCTCCAGTTCCTTCCTAGCTTCATCTTGTGGCATGACTCAGGACTTCTCCACATCAGCGCTATTGACTTTCCGGAGCAGATAATTCTTTGTGGTGGGGCTGTCCTGTGCACTGTATGCTGTTTAGCAGCATCCCTGGCCTCTGCCCACCAGATGCCAGCAGCATCCTCCAATAACGACAATCAAAAATGTATCTAGACATTTCCAATATCGCTGAGGGAGCAAAATCACTTGTCTGAATGTTAAATCTTACCATTACCATCACTCAAAAGGCAAATAAGGGGCTGGCCCGGTGGCGCAGCGGTTAAGTGCACACGTTCCGCTTCTCAGCGGCCCAGGGTTCGCTGGTTCGGATCCCAGATGCGGACATGGAACTGCTCAGCAAAAACCATCCTGTGGTAGGCGTCCCACGTATAAAGTAGAGGAAGATGGGCATGGATGTTGGCTCAGGGCCAGTCTTCCTCAGCAAAAAGAGGAGGATTGGCAGTAGTTAGCTCAGGGCTAATCTTCCTCAAAAATAAACAAAAAGGACAAATAATTGTGAGGGGCCAGCCCACACCCAGACAGCTCCCAATTCATTCAAATGTATTCTGCAAATATTTATTGAGTACCTACTACATGGCAGTCACTGTTCTAAGAACTTGGGCTACATCCATGGACAAAAGATCTTTGCTCTCAAGGAGCTTCCGTTCATGCTGGGGAAGGAAGGATGAGCAGACAATAACTAGTAAACATAAATTAATCAGACTGTCCAAAAGTGAAGGTGTTGGGGGAGTAGAAACAGGGTAAAGGGAGTCAAGTGTGCAAGGCAGGTTGCAATTTTAAATAAGGTGGTCAAGAGAAGCCTATTCAAGAAATGACAGCTGAGCAGAGTCCTGAAAGAGGTGGAGGGTGTAACCAGAAGTTTGGGGACTCCGGGAGAGCAGAGGCCGAGCCCCTGAGGTAGGAGCGCACTTGGTGTACTCAAGAACAGCCAGGATGAGTGGAGGGAGCAAGGAGAGTAGGTGAGAGATGAGGCCAGGAGTAACGGGGACCTGATCAGGACATATTTAGACCATCAGAGGGTTTTGAGAATACTGACCTGATGTGATTTGCATACTAAAAGGCCCACTCTGGCTGCAAGGTGGAGAATAGACCCCATAGGCCCAAGGGAGGAGTCAGGGCAATGAACTCAATGGCCATTGCATTAATCTGGACAAGAGATGATGGCGGCTTGGACCAGAATGGTAACGGTAGAGGTGGTGAAAAGTGGTTGAATTCTGGCCATATTTGGAATGTAAAATCGAAAAAGATTTGTGTCCAATTAGGTGAAGGACTGAGAGAAAGAAAGGGTCCAGGAGGGCTCCAAAAATTGTGCCTGAGCTACTGGAACGTGGGAGCTGCTCTCACCTGAGTTGGGGAATGCTGCAGAAGGAGCAGGTTTGGGGGCAAGATCAGGAGTTCAGTGTTGGACATGCTGACTTGTACAGGTCTGGTATACAGCCAAGTGGGGACTTTGGTCGACAACGGGAGATGTGCCACTGGAGTTCAGGAGAGAAGTCTAGAGGGAAGATACTAATTTGAGAGAAATCGGCATAAAGTTAAGACAGGATAACAGGATGAGATCGCCTAGGGGGCATCACAGATTGAGAAGAAGACCAAAGACTGAGCCCTGGGGAACCTCAACATCTAGAAATTAGGGAAAAGAAGAGGAGCCAGCAAAAGAGGCTGAGGAGGAGGAGGAGCCAGGAGGTAGGAGGAGATTCCAGAGGGTGTGGCCTCCTGGAAGACAGGTGAAGAAAGTCTGTCAGGGAGAAGTGATCAACTCTGCCAAAAGCTGCAGCAAGATGCAGACTGAGAATGATTCCCTGCCCCCCCACCTGATTTAAAGGAGACACCCGAGCAGGGTCAGTGGGGGATGGGCATGAGTCCAGGCTCTAGTTAGAGGAAAGACCATCCTCCAGCCCGACTGCTCCCTCCTCTCCACTCCTGCAGTCTCCAGGCATCTTAGATTCTGTTCACGGGAAAAGGGCTTCCCCAAGGGACGGAGCCCCGCTGCTGCTGGGCAGAGGAGAAAAGGCCCGGGAGCAGGGTCTGAGGGGATGGACCATCTTAGAACCACTAGTTCAGACTGGGCAGCTCCCTGATTTACAGAGGAGGAGGCAGATCCTTGCAGGTGAGGTGCCTCACCAATGTGGCCCAGCGAATCTCTGGCAGAGCAGGTCAGGAAGCCAGAGTGGACCCTGTGTTCTGTGCTCTGCTCTTGCCTCCTGACAGCCCACACTTCCGTCGCCTACCCCCCAGGCTTGGCCCTCACTCGGGGCATGCCCCTTGCATCTCACGCCCTTCCCAGGCAGCAGTTAGCAGAGTTTTCTTCCAGCAGTCCCACCCTGCCCCCACCCCCTGCCCTGGACAGCACTGCACATACACAGGAGGAATGTCAGCTCTCATAAGACCAATTCAGAGCCTTCCATCCATACTAAATCCACTCTAAGAAATATCAAATTATTTCCATCATTAAATCCAAAATGCCATAAAACAAATTGCATCTCAGCTATTTATCTGGAAATTTCTGTAGTACTCATTGCAGGCACCCCTCAGTGCGTTAGCATAAAGAGTGGCTCAAGATGAAGTGCCATGTCCACTGGCTGGTTACACAGCAGCATTCAATGGAAATTTGATGTTTTATTGGCCCTTTTTCTATTAAGTGAAAGAAAAGTCATTTTCCTCTGAGATCAGGCCGATGTTTGGAGAGTTCATCTTAGCTGCTGTAACCAACAAGCAGGGCGGCTGTTCTTGAGGCATTGCCCTCTTTACTCAGGGATTCCAGGATTCAGGGAATTTCTGGCACATCCCCAAGGACTCCCAGATGCCTGGACCCACACTAAGACCACGTGTGAGCCCAGAAGTGAATCCAAATAAAGTAACAGTGGCCGCTTATACAGTCCCTGACGCATGTGACACCATCCTAGATAACTTCCTGTACTTTCCTACAGTTTCTTTATTCCCGTCCTGCACTGCGGCTCAGAGACATTGAGCGCCTCCTCCACAGCCGTCCAGGGGTATCTGTGTGATCCACATTCTCACCTGTTCTCCATGGTGCACACAGAGAGCTCTCTTTACGGCTGTGCCAGGGGACTTCTGGAGGCAAGAAATGGGACATTAGCTGGGAGGAATGAGATGTCCAAGGGGGAGAAATGACGTTCCTAAAGATGAGCTGGGAAGAAGATCCAAGTCTGGCCTCCCTCTTCTTTTTCTCTTCCCATGAGGCTTCAGAACTGCAACTTCTCAAAAAACCTCAGTGGCTCCCCACTGCCTAGAGAATGAAGTCCGACTCTTTGTCTGATTATATTCAAGGCCTCTGGCCACAATCTGGCTGTCCAGTTTAATTCCCTCTACCTGTGCCCATTTACACTCCTTCCAGCCCTATCTCACCACCTAGGGCCCTTATCATCCTCTCCTTAGAGTCCAGAGGATCCTAACAGGTCCTCCTGGACTGACTCTCTGTCCTAAGATGGACTTTTCTGAGCCCAGGAGTCTCCTTGTGCTTTTCTCCAACTACCCCACTCACCTCCTTCCCTCTGGGCTCATGCTGCTCTCTCCTCCCAGAATGTCCTAACTTTCCCCTACTCTCTGTGTTTAAAATCTCCCTACCCTTCAAGGCCCAACTAAATGTCACCTCCTGTAGGCAGTCCTCCTTGATCACCAGTCGGTAACAAAGGCTGGCTCTCCCTCTGCTGACTTCCCAGGCATTTGCCATCAAAGCTACCCTTGGTCCTTCTTCAACGCTGCCCCAGAGTGACTGTTATATGTATGTATTTTTTGTCTCCTCAATTTAACTGTAAGCCATTGAGAGATTGCCAGACCCTATCTTTAAGCTTGGAAGGTCTATCTGCTGGGAGGTAGAGAACCCTGGGCACAACCTGAGGTGCTATCTGTTTCTACAGACAAACCGATTAATCCAGAAAGTCTGCATTGGAGAGAACAACGTGATAGAAGAAGAAATCCGCGTGAACAGAAGCGTGCATGAGTGGGCAGGAGGCGGCGGAGGAGGAGGCGGAGCCACCTACGTGTTTAAGGTAAGGCCAGCTTGCCAGCTCCCCACGGGCAGTGACTTCTGTGGGTCCTGGTGTTGGATCCTCACGACAACCAGGGGAACGAAACCCCTCAGGTGCTCTTAGTCCCATTTAGAGATGACGGAACCGAGGCCCAGAGGGGTGTAGGGTTCCCTGTCTGTCCAAGAAAGGCAGGCTCTTCTCTTGCTGATTACCAGCCCAATATCACCATGGAGGCCTTTGCCAGCCCTGCTTCAGAGTTCCAGAGAGTGCCCTGTGCCTTTCTCTGTCCTAAAGTGGACTTTTTGACATTATTGTAACTAGGCAAAGGCTCCCTGCTGGGTCCTTCCCCATGGACGGTGATGCTGAGGACTTAATCTTGAAGTTGTGGGGGTCAGAGCCAGAGACCCCTGAGAGCAGAGAGGAAGGTGAGAGCAGAGAGACCTGCTCCTAACCACTGGCACCCAGACCTCTGATGCTAGTCCGCGAAGCTCCAGGGAAGCGAGTGTGTAAGCAGCCTCTGAGGTGGATGCCCGCCTCCTGGAATTCATATGTCTGCTTCTATCTCCTGGTGCTTTTGTTTCTCTGATTGAACACTGGCTGATACAGGAGCTGGATGAGGTGGGGGTGGGAAGCCGATGGGCTGTTGTAACATGAGTTCAGAGCCCTCAGACCACCGAGATGCCCCCCAGTGCCCTGCAAACACTCAGACACATTTAAACATTTAAACCAGGGCTCGGGGTCTCCGGAGTGGAAGCCCAGCTCGGTTTCTCAGTCTCTGAATGTCTCCGGGCAGATGAAGGATGGCGTGCCCGTGCCCCTGATCATTGCAGCCGGCGGTGGCGGCCGGGCCTACGGGGCCAAGACAGACACATTCCACCCAGAGAGACTGGAGAATAACTCCTCGGTTCTGGGGCTCAACGGCAATTCCGGAGCCGCAGGTAAAGCACTGCAAGCCCGCCCTCTTCCAAAACATTCTCCCAGGACTGTGTGAGCTTCAGCTCAGCCAGGTGCCATCACACACCTGTGGGCATCATAGTCACTGGTACTTGAGATGCTGGGAGCTCTGGATATTGGTACCAAGGGAGGAAGGGCAGGCAGCACCTTGGGACCTGGAGGCCACCATGCTGACACCGGGTTCAGGCTTGCAGAAGGTCAGCAAGAAAAATGAGACAGGCGGCAGCATTCGGACGGCCAGCCCGACCGTCCCTGGGTTTTACCAAATGCAACTGGATGTGAGCAGGTAAAAGAAACCTTGTCAGGGTCGGGCCTCCCAGGCCCCTGTGTTCACACCTCCAGGCCCTGGGCTGCCAGCTCACACATCTCCTTGCTGGGAAATCTTTCTGGAATCTCCACAACTGGGCTCTCTGTTCTCGTTGGTGAGAGCCAACCACTCAGAAATAGGGGACAGATGTGACTTCTCTGATTCCTCTGAAGCCAGCCATCTCTAAAGAGAGAAAATGCAATTTATTTTTGCATCTTCTTTTCTCCACAATCAGACTGCAGGAGGAATTTTGAAGGTATTTAAGATTTGAGGTTAATTAAAACAAGTATTCAAACTTTCTCTTCAGTCGAGAGATGGCTAGAGATAGAAGAAAGAGCAGAAGTAGTTGTCAGGTCCACGGTGGGGAATTACCTCCAGCAATATTTACAGCGCTCCTTACACCGGTACAGCATTTACTGAATTACAGAGCACTTCCACATCTATTGTTCATGTGCTTTTCAAAACAATCCTGTAGGGTTTTCCAGAAAGATATTATTATTCCCATTTTACAGAACAGTCAATAAGCTCATAGAGATTGGGTGAATTTTTTCCTTAATTTGGCCAAACTGTTTTATACTCAATCCATTTTTTAAAACTTTGTTGTTATTGATTTGTTTTTATTTTTATGTCCATTGGTTTCTTTTCCATGTATTTGCTTAAAGGCTGCAAGGTGGGGTTAGGGGGTTAGAAACCACCTCAGCTGGGGACTGTGCAGGACGCAAGGGTGCAGGGAGTTGGGGGCAGGGGAGGGAGGGCAGACATGGTATCAGGCCCATCTCTTCCTAATTTATTTACTATGCTCATGGCCCTGGCGGCCTCCAGAGCCCACTTCTGCTCCCTAATGGAGCTGAGAGGCCTTCCCTCTGACACGCCACATCAGCCTTGACAAGCCCAAACCCCACCCTCTGGCTGGCAGAAGGGAGGCCAGCCGCTTGAAATTCAGGAGCAACTCAGCCCTGCGGTTCCCAAAGCTGACAGAAGGTCCCCATGACTTGCCTGGGGGCCTCGATTCAGCTCTGCTTGTCCCTGTCTGCAAGACCCAAGCTCGTTCCTGAAATTGGCCTCATTTCCTGAAACCTGGCTCGCTCTTTCTAGCACAGTAGTCATCTCTACCCCCACCTAGACATCCCTCTGCTGCCCATTCTGGGTTCAGAAGAACCTTGGCCACAAGTTCTTCCAGACAACCCTTCCAGGCCTGTTAAGCCTCGTGGTTCCAGCAGACCCACACACTCTGTTTCTCCAGGTCCCCACCCCCCATCATCTGCTGGAGCAGAAAGGCCTTTGGGGTCTTTTGGAGGAGACAGCTGGCTGAAATGTCATACAAAACAATGTGGTAGGAGAGGCTGGGGTCCTGGAATCTCAAGGGCCAGCAGGAGAGATTTATTGTGGTCAGCCGGTGGCCTTAAGATAAAGTTGCATTCACCCTCAGCTCTGTAAAAGCATTTCTTTTGCAAGAATTCAAAGCAGCCCCAGGCATTGGGGAGCACAGCTCTAGCTGCTGCCGTTGTCACCAAGATATCACCAACCAATGCCCCCAGGCCTCTCTGCACCTGACCTTGGAGCAGCTCCTTAGAATCAGGCAGGCAAGACACTGCCTGAGTTTCAGCCCCCAAAGCAGATTGAGCTTCACAGTGTGAGACCTTCTGCTCGAGTGTGTTCTGCCTCACAAATGCCCAAGGATCCCACATGTGGTGGTTTATGGACCATTTCATACACTCATTGTCACCTTTGATCCTAACATCAACCCCCACAAGTTACAAGTGAGAAAACTGAGACTCAGAATGGGGAAGGTCTTGCCCAAGGTTTCACAGCCAGTAAACACTAAAGCCCATTGGACTATGTGGTGCCTGGTCCAGGATTCCTGCAAGGAACTTCACTGCAGTGACCTGGCAGGGTTTGACAGTTGGCTGCCCAAAGACTGGCGGGTCCGGGTTCTTGTTGGGATGGGAAGCAGTTAATGAAGGAAGGCCCAGCACTTCTGAACTTGGCAGGCATGGAGACAAGGCAGAGGAACAAGTTTAGCTGGCATGCTGCCTGTGCCCTCACCTGCCCCCATCCTGAACCAAGCACACTCCCTGGCTTTTGAGCCAGAGGCCTGATGGGAAGCAGAGGTTCAAGGCACGCTCCCATCTGGACGTTCGTGACTGTGGCCAAACAGGTCCCCCAGGGCAAAGGGCACACTCCTGGTTTTCCAGCTGTGGACTCTGAAGCCCCCAGGCCCCTCTGAAGACAGGCCCCCTGGGTGCTGGGGCTGAAGCAGCACCCCTCAAAGCACTCCATGTCCTGCTTCCTTTACCAGCGGCTGATGGAAGCTTGCCAGCATCCTCACTTGGAGTTTTCTCCATCTCTGCCTGCAGGTGGTGGAGGTGGCTGGAATGATAACACTTCCTTGCTCTGGTCTGGAAAATCTTTGCTGGAGGGTGCCACCGGAGGACATTCCTGCCCCCAGGCCATGAAGAAGTGGGGGTGGGAGACAAGAGGGGGTTTCGGAGGGGGTGGCGGGGGGTGCTCCTCAGGTGGAGGAGGCGGAGGATATATAGGTAAAGATGATTCGTGTTCAAGGTGTCACTCCCCTCCCCTTAGTCCTAGGCCCCTCACCTCCCTGTCCTCTCCCTGGCCCTCCCCTGTCCTCCCCTGGCTGCCCCAAGTGTGGACTCCGATGTAACTGTGCACGCCTTCCTCTCAGCCCCGGACCAGCCAGAGGCAGGATGCTGGCTTGCGAGCCAGCATCCTGCCTTGAGGCTTCAATAATGACAGCATCAAGATCCTGTGTGATTCTTGATCTCCCCACCCCAAACACAATGACAAAGGGGCTTTGATTTCCAGAGCTATTCTCTGAGCCACCCTCAAGGTCGCACTGGCATGAGAACCTTGGAGGCCAGACTCCCCAGCCCCGTGCCTCCCTTTGGATGGCCTAGCCTGAGTCCTTGCCAAGCCAGCTCCCTAAGGACCTGGTTTGTGGCTTCTGGTCTCATGGACTTCTCACTCTCCCTTCCCTGCCCCAGCCCACCAGCTTCCAGAATGGCGTCACTCTCCATGCTGATGGGCGCTACTCTTTAGGGCAGCTTCAGGCAGCCCCAGCCCAGCTGGCCACTGGCCCCAGCTCTCCTCTGGGCTTCAGAGCAGAGCAGAAGAGCCTTCTGAAGCTGAGAGGCTGGGAGTTGATGGCTCCACTGTCCCCACAGATTAGGACACAATGCATGCATGCACTGTGATGTTCCGTCTGTGTTTTGCTTTATGCTCTGTGTAAGATGCTTTGCTTGTGTTAACCAGATGCTCTTCTTTTCCAAGCCCTGGGTGGGTGGGAGGAGCCCCCGGGCAGAGCCCAAAGATAACCCAGCCCCAGCTGAAAGGAGGGACAGGAGCCTAAAGGCACAGGGGCCCATCCCCCATGTCCAACCCTGACCGCATGAGACTGGAGAGCAACTCCTCAGTGATATTGCCCTGGTCAGTCTTGGAAGAGGCCCCAAGGGGCTAACCCAGCCTGGGGAGACTAGAACATTTCTGACCCTTGTTCACATGGACTGCTTCCTAGTGGGGCCCCAACAGAGTGCTGAAGACTTCCCATTGGGAGCTGGCCTGGACCTGGAGGGGAAAGTGGCCCACACACCTGGCGTCTACTGAGCCAAGCACAAGTGCAGCCTCTGTGCCCTGAGCCTCCCTTCCCTCCCCTCCCCATTGCCCCTGCCCCCGAGGCCCCTCACTGACCCCCACTGCATGCCCCGCTGATGCGCACGTGTGTTGAGACTGGGCACCCACCTCTCTGCGTTAAACTCTTCTCTGGTTTGCCACAGGCGGCAACGCAGCCTCAGACAATGACCCCGAGATGGACGGAGAGGATGGGGTCTCCTTCATCAGTCCACTGGGCATCCTGTACACCCCGGCTTTAAAAGGTACCCGCCTCTGCCAGGTGGCAGAACCAACTTCCTAAGGCCAGTTCTCCCTCCCAGCTAAAACCTCGGGCTACTGACATGCGTCCAGGATACAAAGGCATGATTATGGGTCCCTTGCAGGCAAGTCTTCCTAGTGCTCATCTTACCAAGTTTTCTGGAAGTCAGGATGTGTGGTCTAATGTGCACGCGGTGGCAGAATACTGACTACCAGGCAGGCTGGTCCTGGAAAACGCAGCAGTAATAGCGCCCTTACCTGTAGCAGCCAACCTACCGGCCATGCCTGTGGACCCTCCCACTCACCTGCAAACATGCACCCACACGTTCTCCACTTCCAGTGGCAGTAGGTCGTAGGAACAGGGACCCAAGAAGCCACACTGATCAGCTGTCGAAAAAGTACAGAGGCTGGGAATGGGGTGCAGGGCGGTCTTTGCAGCTTAGCCTGAAGCTTACCCTCCCTCCTTGTCACCAGTGATGGAGGGCCACGGGGAAGTAAATATTAAGCATTACCTAAACTGCAGCCACTGTGAGGTAGATGAGTGCCACATGGACCCCGAGAGCCACAAGATCATCTGCTTCTGTGACCATGGGACAGTGCTGGCAGAGGATGGCGTCTCCTGCATCGGTAAGGGGATGGGGAAGGAGTGATGGGGGCGGCGCCCAGAGCTTGAGCTTTGGCCCACGGTAGCTGCAGCTGGGTTCCATGGTCCCAGGACATCTCAGATGCAGCTTCCTGACCCCCATCTCTCTCCCCCCAGCGTGGGTGCTTTGAGGGCTGGGCAGAGGGACTGTGTGTGAAAGTTGAGTCATGGCTCCTGAAGGAGTCCTAAGCCATCTAGTTCCACCCCTAACCCAGGGTGTGAACCCTCACAGCCCCACCAAGGGGCCATCCCCATGTCTTCACTGCAGCACCCCCGGTGACAGGGACCTTGAGACTCCTAAGGCACGCTATTCCATCGGGGGGTTACAGAGCTGGGATCCTATTCCTTTCGACTTCTGCTGCTCCTCAGCCCCCTACTGGTAACAAACAGTCTTTCAGGGCTGTACGTGAACTCAGTGCTTGCATCCTCCTCCTGCAAGTCTTCTCCAGACTAAATAACCTGTTTATTTCAACCCGTTCATACAGGACACAGCTGTATGTCTCCCCCGCATCCTGGTATCCTACGTCTGCAGGTGTTCCCACTGTCAGTGTCCCTTTTGAAATGTAGTGTCTGGTACCAGGCATGATGCTTCAGTGTGGTCTGTGCCATGTGCCCCCAGGACCCTCCCTCCAGTGCTCTGGGCCCAGTGCTCCCAGGGCCTCAGGAAGTAATTCAGCCTCAGAGTGTTACTGATGGACACACTTACCATGAGGGCATATTGAGTTTGCTGTCACCTAAGGCCCTTGCGTCTCTTCTGTAGCCACAATTGGCTCACCTTTCATCCTCATCCTGTCATCGTGCACTTGATATTGTGGATCAATATCCAGAGTTTGATATTTCTTCCTGTTACATGTTCCCTCCACCCAAAAGTACTGTTGAAACCTGTAAACTAGGACAAACCTGCTTCACGCCCCGAGTCCACTGAAAAGGAAGGTGGACGAGGTCTCCAGGCACGAGGAGGAGTGGGCAGACTTTGTCCTGGCTGGGGAGGGTGTGTCTGACTTGGGGCCAGCTCAAAGGAGAATCGGCATGGTCATCAGTGCCCCCTGGGGACCTGTCTTCCAGTCTCACCCACCCCGGAGCCCCACCTGCCACTCTCGCTGATCCTCTCTGTCGTGACCTCTGCCCTCGTGGCCGCCCTCGTCCTGGCTTTCTCTGGCATCATGATCGGTGAGTGTGCTAGAGCCCAAATGGTTCCAGAGGGGCAGGGAAGGCAGATCTGGCAGAACAGAACAGCATCCCAGGCTGTGCCACAGATGCCAAGATGTCGCTCTGAGTGGGTGGTGATTCGGGCAGCCCAAGCCAAATCAGCATAGAAGCCCCAGCCCTCCACTGCCCAGCATAGCTGCAGTTACCTGCAGGAGCTCCTAATTCCAAACCTCAGCCCCATGTATGTCTCTTGGCTGCTTAAGGTGTGTGACAGGGGTGGGGGGCACTCAGCAGAGGCAGACACAACAGCTAAAGCTCACCGCCACCCCAGATTTCACTTTCAAGTCTCTCATCAGACGTGCGCTTCAGTGGGCATGGCTCCTGGTCTCACTCACTCCCTGTGTAAGGCCTCCAGCCCCACCCTTCCCCACTCTAGGCAGGAATGCAAGGTTGGTTTCTGAGTGTTTTCAGTTAGGTCCATAAGCCAAGGTGAGCTGAGGACAGAAAGGGTGCAGCAGGGTCCAGCCAAGCTCTTATTGCTGGAAATGCCCAGGGCAGATGGGCAGGGACATGAGGGAAGGCAAAGGGAAAGGCTCAGCTCCAGACAGCACTTTCAGACCAGCCCCCTGGGGGCGAGGGAATCTGGGGGTGCACAGGGAGATGGCAGCATGTGTTATTCCCATACGATGCCATCCTTCAAGGGGACAGGATGATTAGAGCTAACACTTGCTACACACTTTCCTCCTGCCAGGTGATTCACACATTTTAGTTCACTAAATCCTCAGATGACCCTGTGATCGTGATTGGTACATTTCACAGCAGTTGGCTTGCGTGCCCTGGCCCGTGGGCGGTGGGTAAACACAGAATCCAGAGGTGAATCACAGTGTCGTCCGCCTCCGTGCATCCTGCCTTACAGACGTTCTCACCTATAGCAATAACGGTGGTGGTGGTCACTTGCACTGGTAGAGTTCTTTAGAAGTCTCAAAGCCATTTTATGTTGGAGATTCATTTCATTATCACAAGCCTAGAGGGACAAGGCAGGAGTTACTGTCTCTGCTTACAGGGAAGGAGACTGAGGTCCAAAGAGGTCGCATGACCTGGTCGGGGTCCCTCAGCTGGTAAGTAGTGAAGGTGCAATTAGAATGCAGGTCCTCAGGCACCAGTTTAGAGACCTTTCACTCTTGGCAGCTCTCCAACTGCAGGAAGCACCGGTGTCCCGGAGCCCCAGCTGCTGTCTCACAACCATTTTCATGTTTGCACCAAGGCTGCCCCACCCAGCAACTGGGCCCTACAGAAATACTAAGGCAGGCCCATTCCTGGGAGACGTGGGGTTCCTCTAATGGCCAACTTTGGCTCCAGAACTTCCCAACGGTCTTGCTGAAAACTCTTCAGCCTGCATGGCCACCTAGGGTCTTTACTCAACCGTCCCTTGCTCTCTCCTGCTCATGCGGTTAGACTTTCAACACAGTCTGATGGCTCTCCCAGCCTTCCTAGGCTCGCTCACAATTTTTTCTCATAGATATTTTCCCTAATAAAATTCTTGCACATTTAATCCTGTCTTGGGTCGGCTTCTCAGAGGACCCAAACTAATGTATCTGTGCCCCTGTATGATACAATAAAATTGTTTCCATTTATAAGCATTTACTTTAAATAATCCTTCAATTAAAAGTACACTTTTGCATCTATAATCATTTTGTTAGTATTACTGAGTGTGATGGAAAGGTTTCGATCTCAGAGGAGGAGATAGAGATCCAGGAAGGCTTCTTGGAGGAGGTGGCCTGTGCTGGGCTTCAAGGGCCAGACTACCTGGTCCAAGCCACATTGTGACTGACCTCTGTCTGTCTGCAGTGTACCGCCGGAAGCACCAGGAGCTGCAAGCCATGCAGATGGAGCTGCAGAGTCCCGAGTACAAGCTGAGCAAGCTCCGCACTTCAACCATCATGACCGACTACAACCCCAACTACTGCTTTGCTGGCAAGACCTCCTCCATCAGTGACCTGAAGGAGGTGCCGCGGAAAAACATCACCCTCATTCGGTGAGTGCCCCGCTGCTGTCTTCTGGGGCTGTGGGGTGCGTTGGTGGGGGGAGCTCCAGGGGCTAGATGTCATCCCTGAACCATGCATTCCTCTCACCTCAAGAGACCAGCAAAGCCACCCCTCTGGGCACCTCCAGTGCTCCCAAGGGGAGAACATTTACTGTTTAAGGCCATTTGGTGGGCATTTAATCGTTTTAACCCCTCGTATATTCATGGGGTTTGTACGAGAGGAGGACTAGACGGAAAGAACTGGGGCACTCCTCAAAATCCACTTCTGTGCCCCTCCCAGGCCCCCCACCACCTGCTCCAAGCGCCCTGCGCATTCCTCTCTCACTCACTGACCACACTCCACAGAAGTATCCGCCAACGATCTGTCCCTCCCCAGGGAGTGTGAGCCTCCCCAGGGCGAGGACCAGGTCTTAGTCCCGTCTGTGTCCCAGGCAAACACCTGAGACCCCATAAGTGTTCATTGAATGAATGTTCAACCAGTGTCCCAAATCCCTGGTTGGAGTCTTTCTTGCCAGTTTTCAGATAAAGCAGTGGAGGCCCAGGAGTGCATAGCAAAGCCAGGGTGAGGCAGTTACTCTTGAGTGTGTGCATGACCCCTGCCGCCTGTGTGTGTCCACTAAACAAGCCCCTGGCCTCTTTCTCATGGCCCACCCAACTCTGCCTCATCTTGCCTTCTCCTTTGCACAGGGGTCTGGGCCATGGCGCATTTGGGGAGGTGTATGAAGGCCAGGTGTCTGGAATGCCCAACGACCCAAGCCCCCTGCAAGTGGCTGTAAAGGTAAGAGGGGCTCCCTCGTGGGCCTGACCTTGAGTGGTGGTCTCTGTAGGCCACAGCTCTCAGCTGACAGCCTCTCACTCCTGCTGCTCACGGGCTTCTCCTCTTTCCCCCCCCCCACTTGCCTTCTGTGCCCAGACGCTGCCTGAGGTATGTTCCGAACAGGATGAACTGGATTTCCTCATGGAAGCCCTGATCATCAGGTAAAGCCACAGAGAGACACTCACCCCTGCACCTCCCCACCCCTATAAGGAACATGGACACATTCCTAACAGATGGATGTCTCCGAGAGAAATTGTGCTGTCCTCCAGCATACCCGTTTCTCTCCAAAATTCTTAACACGTCTGACCAGAGTGGAACTGCCCCAGACGGTTATCTCAGAAAAAAGATGTCTGTGGCCTAAGAATCCAACCAATATCACTCTACCTTCAACCAGCATCCTGTGCCATCCATTCGTTTTTTTCCCCTTTTGCTTAAGAAATAGAGCGTCCTAGTGTTTGACAGTAGAAGATATCATCTCCTTGTAGGTAACTCTTCCATCAGGCCCTTCACCAATCCCAGCTCTTAGATCTCACATAAAGGAAATGCACCCCTAGCACGTCGGAGGCTGCCCCACCCTGGTCCACCGACTGGCCCGCACCCTTCAACTTGTGGCTCTGGGGCCCCTAACTGGGAATCTCAGCGCCTGGGGCTCTGACAGCAGATCACCTTAAAAACACAGATGTTTGACCTGGAGATCTGGCCAGGCTCATGGCTTCCTGTTGCCCTAGGGAACCTCGAACACCCCGATAGGTTGGGGAGGCCTGGGGTCTCCCTTTGGTGGAGTGGCAGGGAACTGAGGCCAGGGCAGTGTATGACATGCCTGTGTGGTCAGGAGCCACAGGAGGACACACAGTGGGCTCAGCATCTTGCTTTAAAAATAACTTATTTTCTGATTATACATGTAAAATGTGATTATTGAATAAAACTTGGAAAGGATAAGATTTTATGGAAGGAGGCCCAAATCATTCAGTCTCATTACTTGCCAATAACTAACCCCTCTTATATTTCAGTGTCTAATCACCTAGTCTTTCAGCTCTGTGTGTGCCCATGTGGAGATCCCCCGCGCCACTGCCCTGTGTCCTAATAGGATCACATTAACAAAGAAACCCAAATCTCAGGGCCCTGTGAGGGATCCACAGTGGGATCCAGTACGCCTCTTTCTCGCTCTCTTTCATGCAACCACCTGGCAGGTCTCACACAGTCCCTCGTGGAAGCAGGTCCTCCAGCTTCCTCCTGAGCCCTTCCTTGGAGAACTCAAATGTGCATCCCAGCAAGTAGTCCAGGCACCAACCTCTGAGAAAGACACTCAACTCCCCTGTCCCCAAACCCCACTTCCTCACCCAAGTGCCTGTGCAGCGTCCTGGGCCTCCAACCAAGTATTCTTGTGCAAACTGGACTCCTGCAGGGCCCACCCTCTGCTGCTTCCACCTGCTCAGCAGTGAGTTTCTTGGCTTAGGCTCAGCATGGGACCCCTGCTACTCACATTTACAGGATGCATCCACATAATGCGGCTGCTGAAAACATAACTGTGCCCTGTTTTCCCCACTTAAGATCTTCCCAGACTCAGTTCCATTAAATTTGGTTATTCCCCTCTGCTCTGCAGCAAATTCAACCACCAGAACATCGTGCGCTGTATTGGGGTGAGTCTGCAAGCCTTGCCCCGGTTTATCCTGCTGGAGCTCATGGCGGGAGGAGACCTCAAGTCCTTCCTCCGGGAGACCCGCCCTCGCCCGGTGAGTGAGAAGCAGTCTTTCCCCAGTTGTGCCAGGGAACAGAGCAAGGAGTGGAAGGAGCAAGAGGGGGCAGCCTGGGAAGCAACATACTCAGAGAGATCAAGGGAGCCAGTCCCCGGGCTTGGATCTGGGGGCAGGGCTGAGAGAGAGCAGACAGAAGGTGGACAACAGTGCTGGGGGGCTTATGCAAGGCTCATGCTGTGGATTCTCTGGCCTGAATCCATTTTTACAGCCTGCTGTTCTGGGATAGAGACAAGCACAGAGGGGGAACTTTCATGCCAGCCGTGTCATTAAACCAACTGACCTGGGGCAGATGACTCCATATCCACTCACTCTGGACCCCACGTCCTCATCTCACAAATGGGGACGTCCTGACCTTGTAGTTTTACTAGCAAAATAAAGTGCTGAAATATTTAGGAAGGCGCTGCCTATGTGTCATGGCGAAGGGGCTAGAGCTTGGAGGAGTGAAGAAACCTAGGTGGACCTGGGAATGCCACGCCGAGGCCTGCTTGGCCATTACACAACCATGTGACTTGGGGCAGTTTACCCCCTCTGACCTCAGTGTCTGCAATGTGAAGTCCGAGAGGTGGACCAGAACGTCTCAAAGGTGGTTCTAAATTATAAAACGCAGCACACTGGGCAAACCCACAGTCCAGCTGCCCCCTCCTGTCACTGCTGGGGTCTTCAGAGGGCCCTCGCACCATGGACTGGAGCGGAGCAGACCCCTGAGTTAGGACCTGGCTTCCTTGAGTTGCCGCTGGACTGTGAGGACCACAGGGAAGACTTACACCCTCCCTACTCCCAGGAAAGCAGAGAAAGACTGAAAGCCACCCTGCTACAGAAGCCCAGAACCGGACACACTGTTCACAAGGACCCAGGTGGTGGCAGAACCCTTGACAGGCCACGCCTGCCCCAGTCCCACCTTCAGTCAGGCCCAATTTAGAATGCCTTAGCCTTAGGAGCGTCCACACTGTTCCTGCAAGCTCCCGGGTGACCTGTCTCGGCATCTAAGAGGAAATCCTGCTAACTCTTTGAAAAGATGAGCGTGTGTGCACCTGAGCACACGTGGCGGGAGGATGCAGGGGGGGAACTAACCCCACCTTATAATAATTCTCATCACCATTATTATCATCTTCCTCATAGTTTTCACATTTCTCAAAACCTTGTGAAATAAACAGATCTCGCCCCCATTTTACAGACAAGAAAACTGTGGCTCAGAGAGGTTATGTGACTTGCCGAGGCCACACAGGAAGTGGACGAGGTGGTCTAGAACTCAGGATTTGAGACTCCTGATTCAGTACTGCCTCCAACCTGCTATGCTGTTTATCCCAGTGATCCTCTTTGGGAAGCCAGGGAGTGTCAATGTGAGGTTGGGTTGAGAACCAACACTGCCCGCTATGCAGGCGGCTGTGCCAGGGTCTGAGCACCATCCTCAATGGCTTTCCCACCAGCACCCAGCCAGGGAGAGCCTTCAGCCCTCATGCCCTGAGATTCTCAGCAGTGCTTCTGGCAGAGGTCAAATGGGGGACTCATGACGTCAGAACTTGGGAGGAGCCATAGCCCTGGTTTTCCCACTGGACATTCCTGAGGCTTGAGGAGAAGGAAATATTGTGCATGCAGAAGAGAGACCTCCTTATCCAGGGGGCTCCGAGAACCCACTGGGCAAGTCCAAGGACCTTGGGGGTGGAGGGGCTTCTCTTTCTTGGAGGCAAAGTTATCTCACTCCCTTGATGATGAAAGACGACTTGAATATTGTCTCAAAGCACCAGCAAGGAAGGACAAATCATTGATATCTCCCACCACCTCCCACCCCAGTGCCACCCCAAGGAGGCTCAGAGCAGGAGCCTGCTGCCAAGTTCTGACCTCTACCAGCACGCGCTGCCCGGGGCACTCCCACAGCTGAGAAACAGTCTACTTCCCTTGGGAGAGCCACTTCTAAGGGTCAGGATTCCACCCACTAAATTTGCTCTTTTGATCCCTGATCCTGCTCTTCCTTTGTGTGGCTCCCCTTGCCAACCATGCCTCCAAGTCTCGGAGCACCCCAATCATCCTTCTCCTCACCCCCATACACACCCACCCATCCCAGGTGAGCTGGTCCTTCCTGAGATACCTGCCCACAAGGAGTGATTTTAAATGTCAGATTACAGCCCTTCAGGCGACCCCATGTAAATGTGTTTGTGGCAGCAGCTTCTCTAGGGGGGGCTAGGACATTTGCTGGGCATCCTACATGGATTCTCAGGGCCGCAAAATTCAGCTTAGCAGGGTGAGGACCAGGTTGACTGTGGGAAAGGAATGCGATTTCGAGTGGACAGAGGGGGCTAATATCAGTAAATCCCACACGTAATGAGGAAGGGACTAGCTAATGGACATCAGGGCTGGAGAAATATACAGGCTGAAGAGAGGGTGGGCAGAGTCGTGCCTCCAGACTGTGGAACTCACTGCATTCAAAGTCCTGAATGCCACCTGATTCATTTGCTTGCGTCCCCTGACACTGTGAGCGCTTACCTGATGCCATGCTGTGTGCAGGCACTCATTTGGGCATTCAGAATCAGAGGAGATCTCTCTCCTCACTTCCCACCTCTGTGGGGCTCAGTAGTCCATAGATTATCAGGATCAAAGGACTTCGGAGATGGGCTAAGAGGCTCTGGATTCAGATAACATATGTATGGACATGAAGTGACAAAATAAATGCACAGACACGGTGGACAGAATAGATGCTCTGGCCAACCATGTCTGTCATGGAAAGGAAAGTCATGAGTACAGATGAAAACATCATTTGGTCCCAGGACCCCAGCTCTTCAAGAAGAAAGGACCTTTTTTAAAGGTCAAAAGAAATTTGCAGACTGTCTATTCGACAAGTATTTATTGAGGGTTTAACATAGGCCAGATATAGGCTAATGGCTGTCTTTTACTATCTGTTGATTCAATCAAGAATGACAAAAGCCATTAAGGAGTTGGTAATCTCTTTATTAAAGGTGGCAGTCATTAACCACAGTAGTGTCTGTACCTATTCGGAATGTGACGATGCCTGTAGGTAATGCCTCTAGAGAAGATGCTCAGTACGTAGGTGGCTCTTTGGATCCCAGAGGACACAGCGTAGAGGTGAGAACCTCTGATGGACTAATGCTAAGGTTTAGATCTTTGGCTCTCATTTTGCAATACATGAAGAGGCATTTGGTGCCAGTGAAAAGTCGCCCACATCAGAAGCCAGGAAATATAAGGGCCCCAGCAGCAATAACTTCTCATCACCCTTCAAAATGGAGTTTTGCTGCTTTTTCTATTTTGTGTCCCCTGTCTGCATTTGCTTCTTCCTTTCATCTTTCTCTCTTACCCTTACACGCATCCATTTTTAAATATATCCCTATTCTGTTTTTCACTTGGTGAAACAGTTCCTATCCCATGGCCTGTGGTTCTCCGTCTCTCAATGGTTATGGAGAAGCTACTTAAGGAAAGGATAAACATCGGTATTATTCTGTCTTTTATTAGTACGTATCACCCTTTGGGAATAGCCTCTCAGAAGCTGTGACTGAGGAAATCATTCCGCTTCACTGGGCCTGTTTTCGCACCTGTAAAAATAGAATATTGGTCTAAACAGTGTCCCAGAAAGGAAGCCGGTGCCCTGAAGTGCTGCACATGCACATGTATGCTCAAAAGAATTCTGTGGCCAACAAATTCCAGAGCCACTGCAGGCTCCACTCTCACTGATTCTCAATACACATTCGTGCGTAGCCAAGACTCTGATCATTTTTGTGATAAAGAAGCCTATTTAACCCGGGAATTCCCATGCCTGTTTGATCAAATGCCATCCCATAAGCCTGCTTCTGGAAATACTGGACAAGATCTCTCTGAGTACTGGACGGGCTACATCCATAACCGCGACTGCTTGAAGGATGTCTAGTTGCCAAAGGAAGTGCCACAGTCAGTGGCAGATTGGGCTGGGAGTGGGGGAAGGCTAATTGCAGCTCCTTCCTTGCCCAGGATGGACACAAATGGCATTAGGCACACTGGCTACGTGCTCACTGCTAGTTTAAGTATTGGTTTTGCCACAATGTCCACACCTCCCCTGGCCCCGCTACACACACACACACACACACACACACACACACACACACGGGCACACACACGCATGCACCCATGTGCCACGGATTGCCAACTATATGCTTCTGTGCAGACTGATTAGCAGAGCAGTTAATCTGCTCTGAGCAGCCAGAGACAGGGCGCCCAGATAAACCTGGTCCTAGGTTAATGCCTAGGAAGATTTAGCCCCTGCAGTGCCAGGCTCACAGAGCATTTGAGCAATGGTACTCGAATTCTGAGTGACGGGGGCTAAGACACAAAGAGACTTGGGGAAGCTAGGACTAGGTCCTCCTTTGGTAGGAACAAAAAGCCTTTTCCTGAAGAGAGGAAAGGTATTTCTAATGCTTATAATAGCAACATAGATGAATATTTCCCTTGGAAGTATATTACTTTTCTTTCCCCTAGGAAATGGGGACTGTCTGTCTCACAGTGCCCAGTACTTCTGACCCTAACAAGGCCCCTGGAGAAGCCAAACACAAGGACCATTTCCTGAGACCCCCACGGCCCTCCACACTGTAGCCCATGCATAACCACAGACCCCTCCATGAAGCATTCACTCTGTGCCCCTTTCTGTGGGTCCTCAGAACAATCCAGTGAGCTCAGTAGTGTCATGCCGCTTTCACAGACAAGGGTACCAGGGCTTGGAAAGAGGCAGAGCACTTAGCTCCAGGTCACACAGCTAGTAAGGGTAAAACGGGTGAAGCCCAGGTCAGCTCAACTCACCTCCGAAATACGCCACATGCTGCATTTGTGTGCTGTATTCTGTACTCATTGGTGTACTGGGCACGGTAACCATGTAGACTGCCTCCCTTCTCTGACACGCTCTTCAGAGAAGCTCAACTTTAAATCCTAGAATCACGCCTTCCCCAACCCAGATTCTTAAAGCCCAGCTCAGGGCAGTTTCGGCTCCACCTAATTAGCTGTGTGACCTGGAGTGAGTCACTTAGCCTCTCTGAGGCCTCAGCCTTCTCATCTTTAATATGGAGGTAATGTCTCTTTCCTACCGATCACACAGGAAGTTGCACAGAGATCGTGTACTTGGACTTACTCTGTTGGATATAAGGCACTGCCTGATGTTCCATGGGCAGAGACCATTCCCCTCCCTAAGTTGTCTGCTCCAGAAGTGAAGTGTGCCCTCAAGAAGCACGGCTCCTCTCTGCCTCCTCCAGACCCACGCGATTGCTCCAAGGAGTCCTGGGGAGGCCCCGATCTGTGGCAGAGAACCCCCTGCCGGCATCTAAGTAAATCCTAGTTCAACTGTAATCAACCAGCCCCCAATATCCATGGAGCCACTGCAGCTACCAGGCATTGTGCTGGGTACCGCAGGCACAGACCCTGACGTCCCTGCCTCGGGACCTCGGAGTTAACTTGGAGACGTGGAAAATTAAACACAGAACAAAGTGAATAAGGCCCTGCATGACGACATGCTCCTGCAGACTTTGGGGATTTAGGAATGAAAGCCAAGACGAGATGCAGCCTTCAGAAGAGACTTCGCAGCTCTCAACAGGCTGTCTGAGAAGCCAAGACAGGCTGCAGCCCAGAGGGGGTGACTTCTCCTTTTGCACGAAGGAGACTTCATCTTCATACAGAAAAAGCTTGAGCTGGCTCTTCAGCTCCCCAGAATTTTCCAAAAGCTTTTCTTTTTCAATCCCCTTTAGGTCTAGATCTTCTTGAAGAAAATGAATTTTTAAACATTTAAATACTGGAGTTAAAGAAAAGCATATTATCCCCCTTGATTTTCTCACAGGCTTGTTTGTAAGCTTGAGGGATTCAAATGTTTGTGAAGATTGGGGTGGAAGAATGTGCAGAATAAATGAAAAGGGAAAGTCTTCTGCCTCCCCCCGCCCCCGGGCTCCTGTGGTTTGGGGTTCTCAGCCTGGCTGCACGTTAACTCGCCCGGTGAGCTGTGAAACCTACAAACACCACGCCCACCGGAGAGGGATTCATGGGTCGGGGTGGAGGCCCAGGCCTCTGCATTTGTTTAAAGCTGCCAGGTGATTGCTTCTCTGCAGCCAGGGCCAGGGCCCCAAGTGGACAGCGTGTCCACGCTTGGCCTCCTGCGAGCACTGGAAGCTAGTGTTTCAGACTTTCTCTCCTCCAAGAGCTTCTCCTAAGTGGATCGCTTCTGTCTCCCCACAGAATCAGCCCTCCTCCCTGGCCATGCTGGACCTTCTGCATGTGGCTCAGGACATCGCCTGTGGTTGTCAGTATCTAGAGGAAAATCACTTCATCCACCGGTGAGTCAGTGACCCTGCTCTTCCCTCCACCTTCTGTGTGCTTCCCTATCCCAAGGGCCCAGATCTCCCCCTCAGAGTAGAATACTAGACCTCTCTCCAAAGTTGTTTGGATGATTCAGCTTTGTTTAAGATGATTACTTACGCTCTCAGGGCTTCATTTGCCCCATATATAAAATGGGTATCATAAAGTACCCATCCCAGTGCTGGACATGAGCTATTCCTGACCTCCTTTGGGGACTCTTGCCTCTGTCTTGCAGTGGTGCATTCAAGTCCTATGTCACCTTAATGTCTCCCCCATCTAGAAAACTGGGCTCCCAAGGGGAAGTTAAAGGAGTCCGTATTTTCATGTATTTGACTATGGGTAACTCAAAGGTGAGGACTCTGTTTTATTCATATTTGTATCCCTGGCATGTAGTGGGGCACCATGATGTTAGAGAATTTTTTCCTAAAATACTCCGAGATGAAGCATAATGATTATTTTCTTTACTTCTCTACTTCATTTCTTCTACTCTATATGACCCTTGTGTTTGAATCGTGTTTGGAGTGGGAGATCAAGTCCACACGTAACGCTGTAGACATCATAGATCACACGAGTTTCTTTCCATGAGTCCAGACTCATCATGGATATTGATGACTTTCTCAGCTGACAGCATGATTCAGAAACCTGAAAAGTCAGATAGATTGTTAGGCTCTTTTCAAAGCTCTTCCTACTGATTTGCTTCTAATTTAGTAAATAACAACCTGGTGAACTAAAGTCTAACCCACGTCTTCAAAGAGGGTAGGTCGTGTTCCTAAAAAGTAGAATATGTAAGTACAAAGTGGGAAATGAGAGGCACTGGATGAGTTTAGAAATGGAAAAGCACGTAAGTCGATAACAAGCTATGCTTTCTTCCCTAATAAAAATGGGGAAATTAAAGATCAAGTAATACACTCACGTAAGTTCCCAAAGTCATTCCTAAAACAAGGTGATAAACTCTCCCGTTGGCTTATCATTTTACTGTCACTTCATGATTTTAGTCTTCAGATCTTCCTCTTGATTCTAAACCTTTCCAACTTGTAGATCATTGTGTGTGATCGAAATAATAGAAGCACGAGAGTTGCTGGGGCCAGTCCTTGATGTCCTCGTCCCTAGCTCACCCTCTGCCTCAGAGCTCGGGTCAGCCCTGCTATTGTCGTTTTTGCCCTTTGACTTGTGCTCAGAACTTTCCATAAATCTCAGCTCTGGGTTTTATTGTTGCTCAGACATGCCGAGGCTGTGCTCGTTTTGGAATTCATCCTTGGTTAGAGCCACCTTTCCACCTTTTGTCTTTGTCCTTTAAGTCTGGACTCATCCGAGAGCAACGTGTGCAGTCACCTTGGTGACTTCAGGTGTCAGAGCCTTTTGCTTTCTCACTGAGATCGTTTCTGCGTTTTCATCTCTGCCCCACGTTGGTCACCAAGCACACAGATTCTCTGGCTCAGGGATCATATCCATCTTTCCTCTGATATTTTGAAATCTGCTTCTCTAGAGCCGTGATAGATTTTGACTATATCCAGTGCTCTGTTACTATAGATAATAAGATAATAGGATCACATTTTCTCAAGATTCCTATCACTTTCATAGCTGTACATAGTTCCTGAAGGTCGGAATTAGATCTCACAGTAATAGTTTGTCGCTCCTTTTATCTTTTTTGAGAAATGAAGTTGTCAAAGATCAAATCAAGAACATATCAAATGATCTGCTTTATAAGCAAAAGGCGACTTCTAGCAGAGATTGTGCATCTCAAAAAAACTTGTCTTCTGGGGTAACTGGTATTGGGAAAGCATCTTTTACATATTCTAGGAGGTCTGTGGCACATTCCCACAATAATATTACCTCTAATTCTCTCTCTCCTCCACCCTATATCTTCCTTAAGAGCCACAGACACCCGTGCATGTACACCTCCTGAATTCTGAGGGGAACTCCTTCACCAGATCTACACGCTCCCATTTTTCTATTAGATTGTTTCCTTTGGACATGGTTTATCGCCATTTCAAGAATTATGTGTCATTCTATCAATTCTTGGTGTGTTCTATGATACTGCATTTATTTTCTTGCCATTAAGTTCAAGATTACTTTTTTAAGCAACCATTTCATGCACATAGTGGTAAAGACCTGTCTGGAGCCATAAATATTGTTCCTGGTCTACTTCACTATATTTCTCTTGAGATGTAATGGCTATATATCCCACTATTTTTCTTCTTTTTGATGTCATACATTTTATGCTTTTATAGTTTTATTGGGGCATTTTATTCACCATTGCTCCTCAAAATTCAACTTAAACCTTCTGGATCAGGTCAGGGGCATCAACCACACTGTCTCCCATCCTGGCCCATTGTTTTGGTACCCTAAGTGATAAGCCTCAATCCAGATCCTATTTTTTTTTTAATACTAACCAGTTGTTTATTTTCCATGTCCTTCTCTCTCAACCAAAGATCAGGACCTTCATGAAACCAGTTGAAAAAATGAAAACACCACCTATGCCCACTAAGAAGTACTTCCGTTTTTCTGTCCAGGACTTTAATATCATTAGAGACGCACTCCAGACTTTTTCTGGCTGCATCCTTCATTCCCACATACATGTCAAGAATGGATAAGCAGTCAGTGAGTAGAAGTTGATGAGTCTTGGAAAGCTTCAGATCATGCCTTAGAGGCATGTTGTAGGAAAATAGGCCAAACGGAGTAGAACAACAAACAAGACGAGATAACTTTATAACTTGAAAGAAGTGGTTCTTCAGCCATGTAGTGATCATGCACACGGCTTAGTAAAGGTTTTAGATAAAATCATGGATGTAAAAACCATAATGGCTTATTAAAAAAGGAAACTAGAAATATTTGGGAATACCTGGATCTACTTGAATTTGAGATCATGGAAGTTATGCTGTCTGTCCCAGAACACTCCTTCAAACAGCTGGCAGAAAAACAATCAGCAAAATGTATAAAACTTGGGGCCAGCTCAGTGGCGTAGTGGTTGGGTTCACGTGCTCTGTTTTGGTAGCATGGGGTTCCCTGGTTCAGATCCTGGGCGTGGACCTACACACCACTCATCAAGCCATGCTGTGGTTGCATCCCACATAGAAGAACTAGAAGGACTTACAACTAAGATATACAACTATGTACTGGGGCTTTGTGGAGGAAAAAAAGAGGAAGATTGGCAGCAGATATTAGCTCAGGGCCAATCTTCCTCACCAAAAAAAAACCCAAAAACAAAAACCAGTAGCCTAAAGCCAAATGGCATTTCTTATGTCTCTATATTATCTGCTTTTAGCTTAATTTTTTAAATAAAAATAGTACCCTGTATCTTACAGGGTTGTGGTGAGAATTAGATATGAACAGTGAACAATTAGATTAGAACAATGCTTAGTTTATAGTAAAAAGCCAATAAATTCCAGTTTCTATTATAGTTATTTTCATTATTATTATCCCATTAAACATTTCCAATCATCTCCCTAATCTTTTTCCATTTCCCAGTTAATGCTGAGGCCTAGAATTGGTCTAGCTATGTCTTTCAAACTGAAGTATAATGAAGTAAAGGAACTATAGGGCAGAGAAGGAAACTATTTGAACTTTGGATTGGAGGTGAAAATCCTTGTGATGAATATCATACACTTATCTTCCCAGGGATAAAATTGGGAAATGCATTTTCGCATTTTTTTTTCTTTTCAGGGACATTGCTGCCAGAAACTGCCTCCTGACCTGTCCAGGCCCTGGAAGAGTGGCCAAGATTGGGGACTTTGGAATGGCCCGAGACATCTACAGGTGGGTGAAGACTGCCATCACCCATCAAAGCCGCCTCCTCAACCTCATCTCCTCGAATGAATGGGATGCGGCCACTTGTGCCTTAAATCATCTCTGGCACCTCCTCAACTTGCCACCTAAAGTTCCACTAAGTTCCTTTTCAGGATATGGGAAACCTTAACTAGTACCCCTGCCTGAGGTCTAATCCTAGGACCACACTGCCTGCAGTAATTGACACCAGGTCCTTAACTGGGTTGTCTTTCTGGTTCCGACTCTAATCCTAGCATGCTCTGAGGCACCGAATCACCTCGATACTTGATATGGAAAAAGCTTCTAAGCGAACTTTAACTTACTCAACTCCTCTCCTCAGTACTCAGGAATTCTAAAAAGACTTAGCCTCCATCATCCCAGGCAAGAGCACCCCAGAACTGCCAAGGTACTGGGCCCAGCTCGTTGGTCTTCTTTACCCACAGGAGACGCAGGAGTGAAGGTCAAAGCCCATGGGTACCTAGCTTAGCTTCGTTTCTTTTTTCCTGTCATATTCTCAAGACTACATTAAAAAAAACAATTTTTAAAAAGAGAAAAAAAGAACACTTCTATTGTGCTTTATTTCACTTGCTCTTCCTAACCCCAGTTTCTTCTTTGTCTAATTATTTACAGCAGTGATTTGTTTCTTGAGCTGAGCAAGTCACTCTTTTGCATGGTCACTAATGACACCTTCCCTGATTCAGGAGTGGAGTGAGCCGAGATGGTCCTTTAGAGTTTTCTCTCTTTGGAGAATAAGGAAGACCCCCTGAAGGCCTCCAACAGAAGTAGTAACAATCTCTGTGGGGTGAGAATGCTGATGGCATCCTGTTACACAGGGTAGCAGCACATGAGGATTATGGGTTAGGAATGTTTTGAACTACAGTCATCCACCACTGGTCCCCACCCAGTGTGTCTGTCTGCTCCACTCGACCTTCCTTTGCCACCCAGCATCTCAGTGTTCCTTCCCCCCTTTCTCAGAATACCCTGGGAGTGCCTGTGGTTTCAGATACAAATGCTGCAGCATGACTCAGGGAGCCCTCGGCGATCTGGCCCTTTCTCTCCATCCTTGATTCTGACAGCTCCCCAACACCAGGCTTCACCGCCCTAACTTACCGCAGAGCCACTGTTCCCACACACCCTGTGCAATTGCGCGTGTCAGGAGTGATCTTCTGGAAGAACTTCGTCACCACTCAGCCCCATCAGACCCCTCTATGACACCTTTCCTACACCATACCCCCCGCTTCAGTAGAACAAATTGATTCTCCATTTGTGTCACTGAGCTTGGTACATACCTACATCATTATTTGTGTTGTTCTGTACTGCAAATGTCTGTCTCTTCTACTAAACCATATCCTTGGAAGAGAGAGGCTATGACTTATTTATATCTTCAGCACCTGCCAGGGTACCTGATACAGGCTAAATACTCAGTATATGTTTAATGGAGTAATTAATTAATCTAGGCAGCTGGCGGGGAGCTGCCTCCCATAGCACACCATGACAGGAGAATATGGGGCTAGGGGTGGAGGTCTTCAAAGGCATGAGTTAATTTATTAGTTTTTGTCAGTGATGTCATTAATGCAACTCACTGATAAAAACTAATAAATTAACCTGTATCTTTGAAGCCACCTCCGCCCCTGGCCCTGTGTTCTCCTCCCAGCGTGTGCTCTGGGAGGCAGCTTCCCGCCAGCTCCTAGATTATTCGTTGAGTGCTTGTATCGAACTAAACGCAGTGTGAGTGTCATGGAGGATCCAAAGTGACTAAGACACAAGCCCTTCTCTCAGTTCTCCCATGTTGGATCTTGCGTTACTGTGGATCATAAGGAACACGCTGTCCTTACAAGGTTGCAGTAGTGTTATTCATTGTGAGTTACAACAAACAAAACCCATCGGGGAAATCTAACCATCTGCTAGTAGATATTTTAGTCATTGCACAGATTTTTTCTTTCATGCCTCCAGTGGGCTGTTTTGTCTCCTATTAAATGACCCCAAAGTTCTTAACTAAATGATCTGTGTTCCCCTTCTCTCCTCCTGAACCACAAGAACCCCTCATTAATTTCAGTCTTTTAATGGATAAACCCTGTTTTGCCACTTTCTCAAGTTGCCTGGAGCTTCCACTCAGAGCCGTCTCTGGAACCTAGTTCAGTTTTCCTCTTCTCTCCCACAGAGCAAGCTACTACCGAAAGGGAGGCTGTGCAATGCTGCCAGTCAAATGGATGCCCCCAGAGGCCTTCATGGAAGGAATATTTACTTCTAAAACAGACACGTGGTGAGTCTTTCTGCTGCCCTCCCCCAGGTCTCACCATGGGCCTTAAGATGGTGCTCTTTGGCCAAATGATCCCAGACTCTTACAGGGAAGGGTAAGAAGAAAAGACTCAACCTACCTCTACAACAGGGGCTCTCAAACATTGGCATATGTCAGAGTCATCAGAAAGCCTTAGTAAAACGCGGGTTACTAGACCCCACCCTGAGAGCTTATGATTTAGAAAGTCTGGGGTTGCTGAGAATTTGCCTTTCTAACAAGTTCCCAGGTGATGCTGATGATGTTGGCCAGAGGACCACAGACTGAGAGCCACATGTAATTTTTTTCTATATCTAACAACAAGGTTGGGTTCATTCCAAGAATGCAACATTGAATTAACATTAGAAAAATTGATTGATGAAATTCTCCACATTAACATAATAAAGGAGAAGAGGAAATAATTATCAGTACAAAAGTGCTGCCGGTGATCGTGGTGGTCAGACCTACGCTACAGTTAACAATAAGTTTGGAAAATACTGTCTGTAGATTAGATCCCCAGAACATATTCACCCTGCATAAGTACAACTTTGTCCTCCTTGACCAACATCTCCTCACTTCCCCCCCACCCCCAGCCCCTGACAGCCATCATTCTAGTCTCTGCTTCTATGAGTCCACATCTAAGTGAGATCGTGCAGTATTTGTCTTCCTGTGTGTGGCTTATTTCACTGAACATAACGTCCCCCAAGTTCATCCATGCTGTTCCAAATGGCAGGATTTTTTTCTTTTTTAAGGCTGAATGATATTCCGTTGTATATATACATGCCACATTTTCTTTATCCATTCATCTGTCAGTGGATATTTAAGTTGTTTCCATATCTTGGCTATTATGAATAATACTACAATGAACTTGGGAATGCACATATTTGAGATACTGATTTCATTTCCTTTGGATATACACCTAGAAGTGGGATTGCTGGATCTTAAGGTAGTTCTATTTTTGACTTTTGAGGAATCTCCATACCGTTTTACCTAATGACTGTAAGAGCAACACATAATTTTAAATGGCAGATTGAACCCATGCTTCCTCCCAAAATACACACACACACACACACACACACAAACCACTAAAGGGAGTCTTTTTCGTTCATAAAAATTCACAAGACAACAACAATGACAAAATTTTGGAAACTGGAAAGTTTATGGACAAGTGGTACCTTTCTGAGGAGACTAGAAAGTTGATATCTAAGTTCAGAAACAGCCTGGTCCGCTCTGCGTGAGAGCCCCAGGAAGGCCCAGGAATTGAAGGCCCCGGGCCTCTCTGAAGTAGAAGCACAGCAGGTAAGAAAATTAGTTACAGACGTTTAAGACGTAACTCGATCCTCTAGCCCATCCCCTCACGCCACCACCACCCCCCTCAACCCCCCCCAAACCCCCCCCCCCGCCCCGTCCTTCCCCTTCCATCACGCAAGACTAGGAGCTCCTTCTCTGAAGAGACTGAACTAAAGTCTTTCTTGTCTTGGGGACATTAGACATCATCAAGGGTGAATACTATAAGCAGGGATATTTTTTTTAAATCCACCTACTTAAAGCTGTGTGCCCCCTTCCTCTCCTCGGTGCCAAGAACACAGCACCAGGCAGGAGTAGGTTAGAGAATTCCTCATTGGAGGAACTGACCAAAGAAGAAAAAATTCCAGATACTGCAAGTGGTTGTAGGCTGAATAATGGCCATCCAAAGGTATCAAGTTGTAATCCCAGAAACCTGTAATTGTTACCTTCTAGGAAAAAGAGTCTGTGCAGATGTGAGTGAGGATCTTGAGGTGGGACAATTATCCTGGATTATCTGGATGGGCCCTAAATGCCATCACATGTGTCCTCATAGGAGAAAGGCAGAGGGAGATTTCACACACAGAGAGGAGGAGGCAATGTGAACACAGAGGTAGAGGTTGAAGAGATGTGGCCACAAGTCAAGGAATTCTGGCAGCCACCAGAAGCCAGAAGACACAAGGAACAGGTCTTCTCCTAGAGCCTTTGGAGGGCGTGTGGCCCTTCCATCACTTTGATGTCAGCCGACGATACTGATTTCTGATGTCTGGTCTTCAGAACTGTGAGAGGATAAACTTCTGTTATTTTCAGCCACCAATATGTATGTGGTAATTTGTTACAGCAGTCACAGGAAACTAATACAGCCAGTGAAACAAGCCAGCCAGTCGCCCACCAGTCGACAAGCCTCATCTACACTGAGCTGCCCCATGGCTTTGTGATGTCCCAGTCTTAAAATATGAACAGACAGCCAAGAATCAACAAACATTTGAGAAAAGATTGTAGTCTTAAGGAGACAAACGTATAGAAAGCAACTTGTGCGAAAAAAAATGCAGAAGGCCTAGAAAAACTTTTAAAAACTATAATGTCCTCAGAAACGTAAATGATTGTGACCATAATCTATGGACAAAAGATTACTTAAAACAATGTTTTCAGGAAATAAAGTTCTTAGAAATGAAAATATGATGACAGAGCCCTCAAGGAGATGGAGCATTAGTCCCCTGAAGCTTGTGTGGGCTGCATACAGCGCATCCTTTCAGAGAGCACAGGGAGAGAGGAAGAGGGGAAGAAAGAAGCCTTACAACCTCGACCTCAGCCAGGAGATCAAGGCCAGCTTCGACAGTGACAGCTCATGTTGATAGCATGCACCCCTGATATGATATGATGCAAATGGCACTTAACCTCTGTGATCTTTCTCCCCAGACCCAACAACTCCAGTCTAACCATAAAAAAAAAAAAAGACAAATCCCAATTGGACATTCTAAAAAGTCCCTGACCAGTTCTCCTCAAAACTGTCAAGGTCATGAAAAACAGGAAAAGTCTGAGAAGTTGCCAAAGTCAAGAGTAGCCTAAGGAAACCTGATCTCAAGTGACATTCTAATGAACAGAACAGGATGTCCCGGAACAGAAAAAGGAAATTCAGCAAAAACTAAGGAAATCTGCATAAACTATGGGTTTTAGTTCATAATAATGCCTTAACATTGGCTCATTAATTGTAACAAATGTACCATACTAATATAAGATGCTAAAAAGAGAGGCAACTGAGTGTGGGGTATGTGGGAATTCTCTATCTTCATAATTTCTTTACAATCTCAAGCTGTTCTTAAGAAAATAAAGTTCGGGGCCAGCCCAGTGGTGCAGCAGTTAAGTTCGCACATTCCGCTTCAGCGGCCCGGGGTTCGCCAGTTCGGATCCCGGGTGCGGACATGGCACCACTTGGCAAGCCATGCTGTGGCAGGCATCCCACATATAAAGTAGAGGAAGATGGGCACGGATGCTAGCTCAGGGCCAGTCTTCCTCAGCAAAAAGAGGAGGATTGGCAGCAGATGTTAGCTCAAGGCTAATCTTCCTTAAAAAAAAAAGAAAAGAAAAGAAAGTTCATCTTCTAGAAAATAAAACAACTATAAACACATGGGATATATTGGAAAGAAAAGAAAAGAAAATTAAGAGGATTAGACCATAAGATCCAATTACCTGACAGGTCCCAGAAAGAATGAACAGAGGAAATGAAGGGAATAAAAATATCAAAGAAATAATTCATGAATTTTTCCCAAAACAGAAGGACACACATTTCCAGAATGAAGCCATCCACCAAGTGCCAAGCACCGTGGATGAAAAGAGCCACGCAAGAGCACATCATCGTGAAATTTCAGACCAGTGGTAATTAAGATTCTCTAAGCTGCCAAGGAGAAAAATAAAATAATAGTAAAAAACGGTCAGAGATAAAAGATAGGGAATCCAAATGGCATAGAATTTCTCAACAGCAACACAGGAAATCAAGAAGACAATGGGCACAAGTCCTGCAAATTCTCAAAGCCTTGTGTTGAGAGAATGTTATAAGATGGTGGAGCCACAATGATCAGAGCCCCCTTTCTGATGCATGTTTGATAATGTGAGCAAAAGCCTTTGTTACTTTAAGCCACCAGGTTTGACTTACCCAAACCCAGTAAATCCCAAAGTGAGGACCTCAGATCAACAGCATCAGCATCACCCGGGAACTTGTTAGAAATGCAAATTCTCTGAAATCCCCACCTCAGGCCTAAGGAAATAGAAACTCTAGGGGTGGAGCCCAGCAATCTGTGTTTGAAGGAGCCCTCCAGGTGCACCAGGGTTAGAGCACCATCAATCTACCCTATCCAGATACAGATAGCAGTTTACATAATTAGGGAACTGTTCTGAACACGTGCATATCCTATGACCCGGCAATTCTCCTTCTAAGTGTCTACAATAGAGACAGGTTGGCACAAACAGACTTGGGCAAGGATGTCCATTTGCAACATTGTTTACAATAGAGAAAAAGCAAAAACAACCTAACTATCCCTCAAGTGGGGGATGGAAAAATCAACTGTGGTTTACTTACATGATGGAAAAGGATTCAGCAGAATAAAAGAACATGCTAAACCTACGTATATCAACATGAATAAATCTCAAGACGACATTTAGTGGAAATAAGGCAAGTTCCAAAAAGGGGTAGGATATCAAGTCTTGGCTATTGTGAATAATGCTGCAATGAACAGTGGGGTGCATATGTCTTTACGCATTCATGTTTTCATGATCTTTGGGTAAATACCCAGCAGTGGAATATTCCACATCCTCTCCAACACTTGCTATTTCTTGTCTTGTTAATTATAGCCATTCTGACGAGTGAGGTGATATCTCGTACTTTTGATTTGCATTTCCCTAATAATTAGTAATGTTGAACATCTTTTCATGTATCTGTTGGTCATCTGTATATCTTCTTTGGAAAAATGTCTGTTCAGATCTTTTGCCCATTTTTTAATTGGGTTGTTAGTTTTTTTGTTGTCAAGATGTATGAGTTCTTTATATATTTTGGATATTAACCCCTTATCTGATATATGGTTTGTAAATATCTTCTCCCACTTGTTGGGTTGTCTTTTCTTTTGTTGATGGTTTCCTTTGCTGTGCAGATGTAGTCTCATTTGTTTGTTTTTTCTATTGTTTCCCTTGCCTGGTCAGACATGGTATTTGAAAATACGCTATTAAGACCCATGTGAAAGAGTGTACTGCCTACGTTTTCTTCTAGAAGTTTTATGGTTTCAGGTCTTACATTCAAGTCTTTAATCCATTTTGAGTTAATTTTTTGTGTATGGTGTAAGATAATAGTCTACTTTCATTCTTTTGCATGTGGCTGTTCAGTTTTCCCAACACCATTTGTTGAAGAGACTTCCCTTTCTTCACTGTATGTTCTTGGCTCCTTTGTTGAAAATTAGCTGTCCATAGATGTGTGGGTTTATTTCTGGGCTCTCAACTCTGTTCCATCAATCTGTGCGTCTGTTTTTGTGCCACTACCATGCTGTTTTGATTACTATAGCTTTGTAGTATGTGTTGAAAGCAGGGAGTGTGATACTTCCAGCTTTGTTCTTTTTCTCAGGGTTCCTTTGGCTATTCAGGGTCTTTTGTTGTTCCATATAAATTTTAGGATTCTTTGTTCTATTTCTGTGAAAAATGTGATACCAAATCAATATACAAAAATCAGTTGCGATTCTATACGCTAACAACAAAGTAGTAGAAAGAGAAATTAAGAATACAATACCATTTACAATTGCAACAAAAAGATTAAAATACCTGGGAATAAATTTAACCAAAGAGGTGAAAGACCTATATACTGAAAACTATAAAACGTTGTTGAAAGAAATTGAAGAAGACACAAAAAAATGGAAAGATACTCCGTGCTCTTGGATTTGAAGAATTAACATGGTTAAAATGTCCATACTTCCTAAAGCAATCTACAGATTCAATGTGATCTTTAAATAAAAACTTCACTCTGGCTGCCATTGGAAATAGACTGGAATGGGGTGGGGCAGGTGGAGATGGGAAACCAATTAGGAAAATACTGCACATCTCTAGATAACAGATGAGAGGAGCTAGGCACAGTCGTGGCAACGGAAGAAGTTAAATGTGGTCATATTGAAGCTCTGTCTTGACAGGAGTTAAGAGGACTGCTGAGAGTTGGATATGGAATGGGAGGTGTGAGAATGAGTGAGATCAAGGACAACTCCAAAGTTTGCAGCTTGAGTGGTACCACTCAACCGGAAAGAATGAAGAAGGAGATGGTTTGGATGCAGCAAGAGTTGTGTTTGTACATGTCAAGTCTGAGTTGCCTATTAAAATAGGACAGTGACGGGGCCGGCCCCACGGCCGAGTGGTTAAGTTTGTGCGTTCCCCTGAAGCGGTCCAGGGTTTCGCTGGTTCGGATCCTGGGCGCGGACATGGCACCACTCATCAGGTCATGCTGAGGTGGCGCCCCACGTGCCACAACTAGAAGGACCCACAACTATAATATACAACTCTGTACTGGGGGGATTTAGGGAGAAAAAGCAGGAAGAAAGAAAAAAAAAAAGATTGACAACAGTTGTTAGCTCAGGTGCCAATCTTTAAAAAAATAAACTAGGCCAGTGAAGATGTTGAGCAGACTTCTCATATATGAATCTGAAGCTCAGAGAACTGAAAAATGCAGTGAAAACAGCTGGCTGGATATTTAAATACAATACAGTAACTTTTGCTCCTATTTTTATAAAAGTGTGCCCCACCTTCTACCACATCTGGAGACAATATTCCACTTTCAGGTTATGAATAAAGGAAAATAAAATTTAGCTTTAAAAGACTGATAAGCACAGCATAATGCATGATTTTAAAACTTTTCCATCAGATTATCTTCACTGATTCAAATTTTAAAAATAACAATTTAATCAGCACTTAAGCTATCTGTAATTTCCGGTAGAACAAATTTAATACCAAGAGAAGCAGAGTGGGATTTTCTTAAATATTTGTTTTTATTTGATTTTGAATGCTTTGGTGCAAAGCTTTGAGCCTTGTTGTTCCTCCTTAGGACAGGCTTATAGATGACTAAAGAACCATCTGGTACAAAATATAGATTTACCTTATCAAAAGGGTTGCTCCTATTTAGGACAATCTTAGCTTATCAGTGATTAAAGAACCATCTGGCATACAAAATATAGATTTACCTTATCTGTAGCCTTGCTAGATAAAATACAAAATGGCAATTTAAAATTGAATTTCAGATGAACAACAAACAATTTTTTAGTTTAAGTATATTCCATGCAATATTTGGGACATACTTATACTAAAAATGTATTTCTTATTTATCTGAAATTCAAAATTAATTGGTTGTCCTGTATGGTTATTTGCTAAATCTGACAACTGTACTTACCTGAAATTATCAAAGTTCTATAATCAACACTACTTTTTGCTCCCTTGAACTCTTGTCAACTTAAAAGGCAAGTTTGCCTGTTATTTTATCTCAAAATGAGTTTATTCAGGAATAGCCAAAAGAACTGCAATTTGGGATGTGCATGCTATGGTAAACCATAGGCAAATCCAACAAACAAAGGAGGGGAGCTGCTTTTATAGAGAAGAGGGGGGAACAGGGGAAATCCATTGGGGGTTAGTAACAGTTCAGGGCAGCAACAGCTTCTCGTTGGCTGAGCTGCGGTGTTCCCATTGGCTGGACTGTTGCCAGGTGGAGAGAGAAATCTTCCTTGAGTAGTAAAGTAGTTCTACTTCATGTCCAAGATGCAAGTGACCCTCTCTTCCTGTTTGGTGTAATTGATGATAGAGCCGCCCCTACAGGCCTTCTGATTCCAATTTAGTTAAGGTTTCTTTTATTAATTTCCACACTCTAAACCAAGGATATAAACATCTATTTGCAGTCTATATACTGGTTGTCTCAAAGGATACTACAATCTCTCTCTCTCTCTCCCTCTCTTTCTCCTTTTCTCTCTCTCTCCTCTCTCAACATACAGCTGGTATTCTTTAGGCCTTGTTGCCAGTTTCTTGCATGATTTTGCTTATTTTGTTTTGCCTTGGAGGCAAAAGACCGCCAAACAGAGAGGAATAACATATGCGCCAGGCAATCTGTAGGTAGCAGAATCAATAGAGCTAATAACGTACTCCAGTCTGTCTTGGATTAGTTGTATGGTAACCTCTGCTTCAGCCTCCTCATCTGAAAATACAGAAAACCTCTTTGTCCAGCCCTCCCCACGAGAGTCTCTGAAATTTCACCAAGATGATGTCAATAAATGTCCTTTGTGTTCCTCAGGAGATGGGGAGCCATTGTTCTCTACAATTGTGGAGGTAATATTTATTAACTTCAGAAAACTACAACCAGATACAAAAACAAAGAGAAGCTTTTTTTGTCAAAAAGCTAGTTATAAAATTAAAAGTTTAAAATAGAAATTTTAGTCAAAATATCAAGGAGATGATTCTGGAATATGATAAAAATCATTTTAAGGTTCATTTAAAATGAATAACAAATCAAATACATTTTCAAATCAAATCAAATCAAATCATTTCTTTAAATAGAGAGAAATCAAATACATTTCTTTAAATAGAGAGAACTAAGAAAAAAATGCCCTACCAGATATCAAATCATAAATACACAAAAAGTAAAACAAAATGGTATCAATGTAAGAAGCAGACAAATAGATTAAGTGAATGGATAGCCCAGAAACAGACCTGTTTCTACTCATGAGTCAGTGGGTAAGGGGAAAATTACTTTATGAATAGTATTAGAAGAGTGGTTGTTTGGAAAAACCAATCAATTTAGATCCTTACCTCACACTATACACCAAACTAAATTCTAACTGGATTGGAGAAGAGAGAAAAAACAAATACAACTGGAATAAAATAGCAAATATTCATCTAATTTGGGTAAAGGGAGGATTGTATAACCTATAAAACAGATGCAGGAAATCATGCATTTTCCAAAAAAGAGATTTGACTACCTAAAAATAAAAATCTTTGGTATTTTTACAAATAAAAAGTAGAATTAGAAAGCAACTAATAGAAGTGTTTGAATTTTAGATAAAAAGTTACCATCTCTGATATATAAAGTATGTCTCAAAACAAAAAGGAAAATTGGTACCAAAACAATATGTGGATAAAGATGGGGAAAAGATATGAACAATTCATAGGAGAAAAAAATAAAGTGAACTAATAAATATTTGAGAAAACACTCAACCATGTCAATTATCACGTCAAAAAAATTTTATCTTCTACCATTTTTTACCTTATAATCAGCAAAAGTTCTCATTTTTAGTAAGAACACTCAATGGTGGTGAGAGTACCTGATGCATTCTTGCCCAGTGCTGACTGATAAGCAGAGGGACACATTTGGAAGTCAAATGGACAATATGTGTCAAGAATTTTTCAGTGTTCGTGTACTTTTGACCTAGTAATTCCATTAGAATTACCCTAGATTTTCCTAGATTATCCTAATCCTAAATTTGGAGAATTTATCCTAAGGAAATTGTCATTTTAAAAACTGCACAAAGGTGTTCATCATAGTTTTGTAAATATTTCAAAAATTGAAAACAATATGGAAATGATAAGGCAAATTATGGCTCAACTATCCAGTGGAATGTTTTACAGCCATATAAAATTCCATTTGTATTAGCATGGAAAATGTTTATGCTATAATGAAATGTGCAAAAAAATCAAGGTTCAAAATTGCATATTGAATATCACTGCAATTAAGGTAAAAAAAAAAATCTAAGCACAGAAACTTAAGTAGAACAAAAAGATAACATGCTAACAGTGGTTACCTTTTTATGGAGCACTGCATGTGGCTACTTTGTCATTCTTTTATTTTTTTCCATATTAAGAACTCTCTACTGTAGAAAAGTGTGTAATAAAAAAATTTAAATTTTACATCAGTGTGTGTCCCCATGTGTATGTGTATGTATCTGTGTATGTGTCTGTGTGTGTGCGCACGCATGTGGGGATGTGTATCCATCTTCTGTGTCTTCTGTGTCGTGTGCAGGTCCTTCGGAGTGCTGCTGTGGGAAATATTTTCTCTCGGATATATGCCGTACCCTAGCAAAAGCAACCAGGAAGTTCTGGAGTTCGTCACCAGCGGAGGACGGATGGACCCACCTAAGAACTGCCCTGGGCCTGTGTACGACTCTTTTAGGAACATTTCTACAAGTTATTAAGCACAGTTTTCCTTTTCTGAAAATGTCTGCAGCCACATGTGCTTTTTTGTTTTTAGATGAAGGGGCAGATGGCTGACCTCATTTAATATGCCCCAAGATGGTAACGTGTCTGTGACTTCAATGAGATGGGTTAGTCTTCTGGCTCCTCGAAAGCAATAAGGTCATGCCTGAAAATATGTCCACTGTCTGGCTGGAGGCCATGGACTCACCAGGCCCACACTCCTCACGCCTCCTGGAATCTGTGTCCCGGCCTCCACATCTGCTGCCCCGCACCAACTCTGAGTCCCCCTTCCGTTTTTCCATGGCAGGCATTTTCTGCTGTCCTGTCTGGCATCCCTCACCTCCTTCCCACAAGCAGGGCACACAGGGAATGTAATCAGAGCGCTCTGCCCCAGAGGTGACTTTAATTCAGGAATGGAATGAGAGGAGCCAGATTTAATGTAAACACCAGGATGTCTGTGTTAATGAGCTTTGGTATTATAATAACTTTACACCTGGGCACAATTCCTTGGCCCATCAGCAGAGGGCAGCATATGCCAACCACATGGGACCTAGATGATTTGCCACCCTTGAAGACAGTGCCACCTTTAGTCCCATTTAGAAAACTGCTGGGAAAGAAAAAAATGTATTTTTCATCCTTGTTTCTCCTGATTTTAATTAATGTGCTTATTCTTCTTTTAGATACCGGATAATGACCCAGTGCTGGCAACACCAGCCTGAAGACAGGCCCAACTTTGCCATAATTTTGGAGAGGATTGAATACTGCACCCAGGTATGAACATTTTTTTCCCCTTGACCAGTATTTATATGGAGAAGTCTTAAAGATGGCAAACACCAAAATGTGAAATAAAAGTTAAACCAGCCAGAAAATGAGTTATGATCCTGAGAATGAATGTTAATTATCTATAAAGTAAAACGATTGTTATCTCAGTTTGCCTGGTTTGTAAATAAATACTAGTAACTGCCACTTTCTTCACCAGCACATGACAAAGTGGCAGAAACTCAGTAATATTGGGGAATCAATTAAATTCACAAGTATTAACTAAATCCCTACTGGGCACCTGATGTTTTGTGAGACAAAACTGGAGCTTCAAAGGATGGAAAACACCTGCTCTCAAAGAGGTCCTAGCCTGGCTGCAGAAACAATAAACAATAGCAAAAGTAAATAACAGTGTATGACTGTTGGATTAAAGGAAGGGAAGGTCGAAGGAATCTGGAGAAACTTTGACATCACCAATAGCATTAGTGTCTGTAATACACACATCACTGTTTATGTATCTCATTTTATCCTCACTGAGGCACAGGAAACGTCCCCAGTCTCCAGGCGAGGAGCTGAGGCTTGGAGGCTGTCCAAGCACAGTTTCCTAGCAATTCCGCTGGTTCGTGTGCAGATCCTTCTTCCGTTTCCTTCCGCAGTGACTCTCAATTTTCCCTTTTCTACTCCCCTTTCAGCAGACAACCATGCCTCGTACCTCCTCAAGAGCGGAGAGGCTAAGTGAGAATCTCCTCGGTTTCTCCGTCTTTGCATCTCGCCCATTCTCACCACCTTCCTTCCCGAGTCGGTGCAAGCGGTGTCCGTCCTCCCCTCCACGAGGAACCTCCCTACCTGCACCGCCAACCGCCCCTTGGGCCCGTCATTCCACCAGTCACCCCGCCTCCGATGCGTCTGCGTCCTTTCCCTCTCTCGGCTCTCATTCCGCCAGGAGATCTAATTTTGCAGAATATTTCAGCAGTCAGACAATAAGCCACTGCCTCTCTAAATTCCTTCATCTTAGTTGTGACAAAAGACGTATACATTTCAAACTACAGTCATTTCCTGGCCTCACGGTTCCATCCTTTCAGGTCCTTTTAGCTTAGAAGTAGATGGACTGGCATTTATCTGGATGGACGACTTTTATCAAGTTATTTGGGGTTCTTTCAGAGAACTTGGTGTTCAGTGGCATTTTAGGTTTATTATGTTGTAATATTAATGGAATATACCCACTTAATTATATATATGTTGGAGTAATTGTTCTCCAACGTATATAATATTCCTCTTTTTAAAAGCAGATCGTGGGGCCAGCCCGGTGGCGCAGCGGTTAAGTGCGCACATTCCGCTTCAGCGGCCCGGGGTTCGCTGGTTCTGATCTCAGATGCGGACATGGCACCGCTTAGCATGCCATGCTGTGATAGGCGTCCCACATATAAAGTAAAGGAAGATGGGCATGGATGTTAGCTCAGGGCCAGTCTTCCTCAGCAAAAAGAGGAGTGTTGGCAGTAGTTAGCTCAGGGCTGATCTTCCTCAAAAAAAATAATAAAAACAGATCGTTCTAATGAATGACTCACTATAGAAATTAATAATTAACAGGGAAGGAACTAAAGAATAAAAGAGAATCAGCATGTAGGTTTTTTTTTTTTTTATTCTTAAACTCTTTACTGACTGGACCAATGTGCTTTTCTGTTAAACTGAAGTAACAGTTTTCCCAATTTGCATAAAATATTAAAAGATTAAACTTCCCCAAGTTTAAGTTTCCTTCCACAAATTTCCCTTAAATCTCTGGCAACTGCTTTTGCTTTTCTATGTTATAGTCTATTGCTGTAAAATGATCTAGCACAGCACAAAGTTGGTTTTGTAAATGGTTTCCCTCCCAGCACTTCAGTATTTCCTGGGTCTCACTAAGGGCCTCATTATATCCACGCTAGTTAAAGAGCCACTGCATTGTGCTGTCTGCACATGTAGTGACATGATGCCATGACACAGAAGGAGTTACAATCCACTGCAACCCATCCACATATCATCAACTGGGAGGTAGCTAGGAAGAGAACAAGAGACACACCTTTCATAAGCCAACACGAGTGTCTCTCTCTCTCCTCTCCTCCCCCACCCCTTGCACCCACTCACATGCACACACACACATACACACACTTGAAGTCAAACACATAGACTTTTCTTTTTAGTTGGAATGATTTTATTAGAAATAGACTGGAATAATTTTTTAAACTAATTTATAATTTTTTAAAAATCCATGAATCTGTAAGATTTGCCCAAAGGTGGTCTCTGCAAAGCCTTTCCTGACCCCACTCCCTGCCCCAGGCAGGTGGCTGCTTCCCAGCACCCACACACACTTCTCCTGTAGCACTTATCCTCTAGGCTCTTCAAGGATGCGGATGATTTCCCGTTCGTTTCTTCTTCCCCAGGGCCTGTAAATTAACATACTCCCAATAAACACTGAATGGTTTCCTCATCTGTGAAATAAGTTTGGATGAGATCATTGCTAAAGTGTCTTCCAGATCCAACATTTTTTATTGTGGTTCAAAGTTTTAATCAGTTCGTTTCTCCTACCTGTAGGACCCAGATGTGATCAACACAGCTTTGCCAATAGAATATGGCCCACTCGTGGAGGAGGAAGAGAAAGTGCCTATGAGGCCCAAAGACCCCGAGGGAATGCCTCCTCTGCTAGTCTCTCCTCCCCAAGCTAAACGTGAGGAAGGACAGGGTCCAGCTGCCCCGCTCCCTCTGCCTTCCACTTCGTCTAGCAAAGCCATGAAGAAACCAACAGCTGCAGAGATCTCTGTTCGAGTCACTAGAGCGCCAGCCGTGGAAGGGGGACATGTTAATATGGCATTCTCTCAGTCCAACCCACCATCAGAGCTGCACAAAGTCCAGGGATCCAGAAACAAACCAACCAGCCTATGGAATCCAACTTATGGCTCATGGTTTACAGAGAAACCCGCCAAAAAGAACAATCCTCCAGCAAAGATGGAGCAACAGGAGAGGGGAAACTTGGGACGTGAGGGAAGCTGTACTGTCCCCCCTAACATGGCAGCTGGCAGACTTCCAGGCGCCTCTCTGCTCCTAGAACCATCTTCGCTGACTGCCAACATGAAGGAAGTTCCCCTGTTTAGGCTGCGTCACTTCCCGTGTGGAAATGTCAACTATGGCTACCAGCAACAGGGCTTACCTTTAGAGGCCACCCCTGCCCCTGGAACTAGTCATTATGAGGACGCCATTCTGAAAACCCAGCCTGGGCCCTGAGCCTGCTGGCACTCATTTCTCTTTCTTGGAAACCGTGAGCCCATGGAGGAGGGACAGGTAATGGCTCCTCCATAAACCAGAGACCAAACGTCACTTTTCATTTTGTGCCAACTTGTTTTGAAGTGCCACATAAAAGCTGTATTTTCAAAATGCTTTAGTTTTGAGCACGGGTTCATCCTATTCTTTCAAAAGAAGAAAATATCATAGAGACCAGTGATAAATACAAGGCCCAGATTTGGTTGCATCAGGTTTTCGTGCATGGTTGGTGTACACTTCCTCACGCTTCTTTCAAACTGTGTGTGCTCTGCTCAGTGCGGTCAGAATTAGCTGCTTACATGTTTCATAGTTGGAGTCGTAGGGGTTTCCTTACCTTGTTGATGTGGACATGGACCACTTGTGGGGAGAGAGACTAGAAATAAAAGAGTTATTTGTAATGCATCAGCATGGGAAAGGCATTCTTTACTTGGAAAAGAAAAATCATAGACAACTAACTGAAAAGTCCCGTTAGATGACGGTTAGGTCCTGTCAATTCTCCTGTTTCATCGGTGATGGTAAAAATGTGGTGAATAGTTACGTGGTATAGAGAAAGTGTATATATACTCATCTAAATGAACTGCAGACATTGCAAGTGCTTTGGCATGCTGCAACCCAGGACAGCTCCAGAGAGGCAAACATCCTATTAATACACCTCATGCCTTAAGAAAACCTGCCCACTGAAAGTGAACAACTGAGTGTGAGGTTTCCTACTGGACTGAAAACTCGAGATTTAAATTATTAATTACTTATTTTAAAACTTTCCACTAATTAAAATAAACTCTGATAATTTAAAAACAAAAATTTTAAGCAGCAGTGAACATCCAAGCATAGAAACATATCCATTCGTGGGCATAAGTGTCAATAGATCTTAGAGGAAAACCTTCTAACGATTCAATCATGAAGGTTAGTTACCAAGTTGGAGTTTCTACTTGTACTGATAGGTCATTCGAGTAACAGGCCGCTGGTGGCCCTGGGGAGAGGTAGCAATGCAGTATCCTTCCTTCCAGTGTTCACCTGAGCTTTCTCTCCTTCATCATGTGATCATAATATACATGGGCACACAAATCTGCTAAAATATACACAGCAGAATTTGTTTAGCTACCAAATGCAGATTAAAACGAGGGATTTCCCTCTGGGTGGCAATGAGTGAAGGAATTAGGAAGACGGAGCGCTGAGGTTAATGCTGACGTTATAGGGCGAGTGCGGAACTTGGTTTTCACGGGTGAGATTTATTTCCCTGAAAATGAACTGGGAATCTGTTAAATTTTACACACGTACTTATGCAATAACGCTTCACTTTGTCGGTAAATTGTCCTTTCATCCTTACTTTCTGCTGCTCTTCCATCTCCCGCCCAGTTTCCTTCCTGGTGGGAGCTATGCCAAAGCATCGCTTTGGGAGGAGAGCATTTTGTGGTACTTGCTAGGCACTAAGCAAAAGGACTGGACATGTCCCTACCTTCTCAGCTTCACCTACAGCAGAGGACCACTTTGGACTTGGGAAAGCCATTCTGTTCTAAGCCAACAGTAGAGAAGTTTCCTTCCTCCGATGGCAGATGCCACATCCTAGTGGGCGCTTCTGCACATCTGTAGGGGCCCTGATACCCTGGACGCCACATTTCCTGATCTTCTTAACTGCCAAAAATATTTTCATCAGACATACATGAAGATGAAACATCAATGAACCCATCTCTAAATAACTTTATCAAGACAGTTTGGACTCCTGCCAGGCACAAAAGTATATAGTATAATCATATAAACATCAATCTAACTCATAAACCACCTGCAGGGGCCCCAGAATGACTCTCTGAGAAACACTCTCCTAAAGCATAATAACAGAGGAACTGTCAAAACTAAGAACAATTTCATTTTCTATTTGTAACACCAGTAACCAATTAAACAGGGGGCATGCTAAATGGTTAAATAGACAATTCTTTATTGTTATTAACAGAGAAAAAATCTTATCCTTTTCTCTTCTTAAAAACTACAAATCCATTACATTTTCAGGTTGTGCCTTACTACCACAGAGATTGGTTGTTGATTGTCTCTGATCGTCCTTACCTGTATCAATTTTCATGTAAATGATAGTCAAGTCTTAAAAGCCTGTATACGTGGATAAGTAAATAAACACCTGCACACTGAGATATGATGACCTCAAGATGTTTCATTTAACTCGCTGTAAGCCCTAGGTATTGGCATGATATTAATCTGGACTGTCGTCCACTCAATATTGCTCCCACCATATGGCTACGGCAACTCACACAGAAGCTGTGGACTCTCATATTTATTAACTATGATAGAAAAATCCACCTAGAACATGGACAGGGACAATTAAAGTTTGAAGAAGCTATGCTAATTAAATCATAAGCTAGTATAATTATTTATATTCCGTGTCTATAAAGAAGCCCATCAAAAGTTCACAACCGTTCCATTGGGAAATTAGCAATTTGTGAGGAATGACCATTTTGTTAGTACGTGGCACCTCAGAATCAAAATTGCAGGAATACACTTTATTTTTTCCGAAGCGTATGACCTACTTAGTCAACAGACCGGATTCTCTTCCATCAGTTAGGGTGTGGGGCCCGGCTCTCTCTGGGTTATGGGACCTGTCTGTACCTTGGTGTCTCCAAATACAAAACAAAGCTAATAACCTCTTTCTCGCTGCCCCTCAGGGGACTCAGAACCTGTGTGAGAGCACAGGCACTCCCTCTTACACTTCTTGAATTCCCAAGTGATCTGGAGTTTGGCGCAGGGAGAAGTGCAAAAGTCAGACTGTGTCCACACACGTCTGCCCACTCTACGCCCCTCTGGCCCACTTGGCCCTCCCATTTGTATCATATTTAATTTCATCTGTCACTTGTGTAGTGACAGTAGCAAGAACCCTACCAGAAACCAAGTCCTTTGCATCCCAAAAGAAGAATGTGAAGACGCTTAGCACACTAAGAACTGGGTTCTAAGTGTTAAAGATAAGCATTACAGAAAGGAAGATATGTAATCAATTTGAGTAATTCTTTTTTTTAAATTTCTGCCATCTCCATATAATACCTGGTAAACTCTATCGCTGTATTATATTACGTAACTTCAGACTAAAGTTTATTCCACTAAGAAATTCTAAATGATCAGGATGTTTTCAAAGATTTTCTCCAATAATAGCAGGATTAAAATTCATATTGGCTTATAGACCTAAAACAAGATGCATATGAATTCAGACTACTCTGAATACCAGACTCCCCATGACAAGATTCATACAATTCTATGAAGTGAGCTGTCAATCTGTCTTTAGCTAATGACTTTTTAAATAGGTCCCCAAAGAACATACAATTTGACTTTGCTAATTTCATTGCAGCAGATGGTTCCCCATGTTGTGTGAACATACAAAACCCAAACCAGCACTCCCATAATCCCCCACAAGATGCCCTGAAATAAAAGATAATTACTGAGAACAAACAGTGAGGCTTCTATTAAGATTCTGATTTCATGTGATATCCTGAGTAAGTGTATTTAATTTTTAATGCACTACTCAAGTACAAAGCTATTTTTAGCTCTAGCTTAACTTTAAAACATTTGAAAAGCTCAGTGTAAGAACAGACTATTACCTGTAATTGGGGGAGGGAGATGAGCTATAGCCACAACACTAAAGCAATGACTTTCCTCTCAAAGTAAAACAAGTACGTTACCCTTCCAGGTAAAGATGGCGCCACCAGGCTAACCTCACAAGAACTGCAGGCACCAAGGGCTGCTGCAGTGCCAGGCTCAGATCCCTCTGCTTGACACACCCTCAGGCTATCCCCTCACTCCACCAATTTGCTAAGGCCTCTTGCCTCCTTGAAAACAATTACTCACAATTATTTATCCCACCATCACTAAAATGCTCGTTCAGTAGGCACATTTCAGCTGGTATTAGTTGAAAGGTAATCTTATTAAATGAACTCTCACTAAGCCTTAGCAACGAGTATATTAACGTTCCCTAGAATATTTACATTTTAAGAGCAGTTATTTGCCAATACAGACGAATATCACATTGATAAAACTTCACATGATTATAATATCTTGGATGGTTTCTGTTATAAGTGCAGATGGTGGTGCGGTTCCCTGACAGGGAAATGAACTGGGGCTGCAGTGGTGAGAGAGCCAAATCTTAACCACTACACCACCAGGCTGACCTTGCATGGCTTAGTACTCATCAGTTACATGAGAGATAGCAAGCAGATTGGGCAGGAGTTAAAAGACCCAGGTATTAGACTGCAATTATCTACCTATGCGACTCAAGCAAGTTACTTAAACTCACACTTTCTCATTTAAAAACGTGAGCAGTGAGTTTGGTCTCAAAGGCTCCTTCCAACTCTGAAGTCCATGATTCTTTAAGACTTCACCGCTCTATGAGGCAAATCCCAACACCTGGCCCACAATGGGTAGGACACGACTGGTATTGGCGGGGGCGGGGGGGGGGGGGGGGGAGGGGGGAGGGGAAGGGCTATTCCTTGACCCTGACTCTTAATTCATTTAGAACCAAAGCCAATTAATTCAGTGCACGACGCCACTGAGCCACATTTAAGCTTTATACAGAAGTAGAGCAGAAAGAAGTTCAGTATCAGTTACGTTTATTCTTTCTATTCAAAGCTCTTTTAACAAATCATAAAATCATTAACATAGCAAAATGAGGTCCATCAGGGATGGTTTCTTGAAAAAAGCAAAGCTGACAGGACTATGAGAATCATGTCCGTTAAATGCCCTTCATGCCTTCAGTGTCGCACCACTTATTTCTCTTTTGTTACATTTACTACAACTGCAGCCTTATTAGCAAAGTAAACTCATAAAATTTATCTTTTAAAGGCTATCTTTTACCACTCCTACTATTTGATGATATATCCGATGCACTTTCTGTCAGTTGTCAATTCACACCTCCCAGTGCTCATTCCCAAAGTGAGGGAGCAAAGCCCAGAGCAAGCCACATATTTGAGACCAGGAGTGGTCTGTGGAGTCAGGCATCCCTAAATAAGCGTCGTGGTGCCATTGTGATGAGGAATTCATTCATAACAGGAGCGCTCTCTCCCAAGTACCATAGGATTGGGCAGAATCCCTCCTTTTCAGGTTTATAGAGAGAACCACTGCCAGTGGATGGCAATTTTTGGAAACTGGTTGTGAATAATATAGCTTTACAGAGCTCTAGAAACAGGGAATCCCAAAAAGATACTCAATTCAAATATCTCACCAAAAGATAAGACTGTGAAGACTGCACACAAATTTTCTACATTTTAGAGCATCTAACAGTCAAGAAACAAACCAATTTAAATCTTTTTGCATTATTTCAAAGTAATATTTATATAGTATTTCATAGTTCTCAGAAGAACTAAAGTAATATTAAAGACAGAAATTCTTTTTCCTCATGTATGTACCAGTAAGCAGCTGTGATGTTTTATAAAAGAAACTAAAGCAGAACATTACACTGGATTTTCCTTTGTCACACACCAGGGAGTGTGAAGTGAGACCTCAAGAAATCTCATGCTATTTCTTAATTCCCTAAGCTCTACTCCCGTCAAGAAAGAGAAAAGATCATTTGAGAAAATAACAATATTTTTAACTGATATGTATAATCTACTGGAATTCTTATTAGAAATCCATTTTCATTGGCCAGTTCAATAAAAGGGACTGAAATTTTTCACTTTACTCTTCTTCTCTGTTGTCTACAGTGCAAAATCCACTTTCCCCTGCCATCAATATGGGACTTTTTATGACTATTGAAATTCATTTTAAAACCCATTTTAGGATATTTCTTCCAAAGATATTGGATAGTAACACCTACCCTTCATAACAAGAACTGTCAGGGACAGTCAATAGCAAAACTGTTGACTGAGATTAAGCTGAATCTCGGAGGTCATATTAGAGACGTAATAAAAAGAATGGCTTGAAGCTGTGTGAAGAGCTTTAACATGATTCATTTCCATGTCAGTCTGATTTGATTTGTTATGTGAAAAATAATTAGTTCAGTCTTCCAGAAGGTGAGTCTACTCCGAGTAAAGCTATGACGAACTCTATCAGGCTGGAGTTGAAAGGAAACTTCTCTGAGATTGACACAGGTCAAGGAGCACACAGCATGTGGATACTTACACTGTCTACACTTCAGAAAAGTTTACAATTCAAATTCAGCACAGTACAAGTAAATTTCTGAGACTCCCTATTAGTTTCATTTATTCAATTCAAACAAATCTAAGTATCCAATTCTGAGACCAAATTCCTCCTGACAAGGAAGCCCCAGGGCTGTGCACGTGTGTAAATACCAAAATAGCTACAGTAGAGACAAACTTGTATGTCGGGGTTCATTTAGGATTTTAGAGCTGGACTTAAGCCAGATTTGTGAGCATTTTTTAAATGACACCAGTGATGACTGGGAACGGGTTATATTTTAAGCTAATAGCCTCAATTTAAACACCTAAGATATCTTTACCAACATAATTCCGAACTTACTGCCTGCTCCCCAGCACCACCACATCCACCACACTTCCCATCTTAGCTGTACGGTAAATGACAAAACTTGCTGCTGCTTCACCATGAAAATTCTATTCATTATAAGATGCTCGAAAGGGATAAGAGGAAAAAGGTTCCCACACTCCTTGGTGCCTTCCTCCTCAAGGGAAAGGCTGCGAGCAGAAAGCCAGTTTCATTTCTACCAAGCTTAGTGAAAATATATCACCGTCAGTAAGATGTGCCCATCCACTCTAATTCCTCCACATATACTTCTTGTCCCCTCCTCTAAAAAGGAGCATTAGCAAAAATTTTGGTAGAAAAAATTCTTTTTGCCTATGCAAAGGCATCATATTCTGCTTGTAATAAAATCTTAACGGGTCCTAGTTAACTTATTCAGCTACACACAAGCTTCATTAGGAATGTCTGCTGTGGATTCAAGCGGCTTATGTGACATTGATTGTAAATAAGGGCCTGTGTACCAAGGGATACTATTAAACAATTACTAAAAAAATGTGATAATGTGAGTTTTGTATTAACTACTGTATTCGTATCATAAATAAGTGTAGTGAAGCAAAGGGCATGAAGAAAAATAAAAAACTCTCTTCCTGGCTTGCAGTGTGGTGATACGCATCATACATCTCTGAGTCAATCATTTACATAACAAATGTCTGGTGAGTAGTTAAAATTACTAGATCTCTTTCTTAATTAAGAATGATTCTTAACACATTAGGTCTCTAGCCATGGGTCAACATGGCTTAAATAACATTATCAGATATTCTAAGTAGGTAGGTCCAAAATAAAACTGAAATAAAAATACTTGACACCAGAGACCAATGCCGTGCACTCGTGAGTAAGGTCCGGTTCATTTGCTCTAGATTAGACCACACATGTTACTATATTCTCTAAACTGTCATCACAGCAAAACAGAAATTCAAAGCCAGCCCCAGGGCAAACACTAGGGCAGTGGCTTTGGTGGCCCTGTTCTTCTTTCCTCCCCCCTTTTCTACCCCAACACCAAACATCTTTCTCTCTCCTTCATGTCGCTACTTTGGGGTAAACTTGGGCTACCATGATTCAAATATTTCCTGTCCTCTTTCCTCCCTTATCTAGCAAAATTTACCAAGTCCTTGGCCTGGGCTCTCAAGGCCACCTGTCTGAAGCCAGCTAGATGATCTCTCCACTTTACATAATCGACGCCTTCACTGCCCCTGTTCATTCAACAAACGTTTACCCAACATCTACTAGGTACCAAGGAGCATCCCGGGTGTGAGAGATGAAGCGACCAATGAAACAGTGTAGCATCCCACCCCTCAGTCTAGGGAGGAAAAAGAAACATAATAAGGAAAAAGTTCAGCATGACCAAGGGTGGTAAACGCTGAGGAGAAAAGAAAAACGTGAGATGGGGATGAGGAGGCGGGGAGAGGATGGGGCCTCACAGCAACGCCACAGCGCCCCAGCTCAGGGTCAGCAGCCGTCTGCGTCCGAACGCTTGTAAGCACTTAAAAACATTCCCACCAAATTAGCCTAAAATGCAGAAACAAAGCTTTTTAGTATAAAGTAGATAATTACTTATAAATTTTATTAATCTAAATTCCAAGTGTTCTATCCCACCCTAAATAAACAAATGAAAACCCACTAGTACAAAAGAAAGTTAAGTAATTTTAGAAAACTGTAGAAAAACCTTCTTTTCTTAAATGGCTCTCTGTCCATCAAAACAATATAACAGGAGGGTGGCTACCAACATAACTTTACTTGTCCAGAAGAAAGCATGATACTTTTCAAGCCTCTTTATAGAGACAGGACAAATTCAAGTCAGCACTGTAAGAAAAAAAAAAGTTGAGTCCATAGGACACGCACTCCAAGCGACTGAGACAAGAAGCTGCCGACGGGGAAAATGACCAGACGCCGTTCCCAAACCGAAAGAGCGTCCCTTTTTATTGATGCTCAAGAACTCTGAATGACAATTAATCAGCAAAACACAAATGAAAACGCCTAATCTCTACGTATAGTATATGGAAACATACACATTAAATGGATTTAGTCATCCTAACCTAAAGATGAGAACAAATGTTTCTCCAACCTCAAAATAAATTCAGTGCTGGCATTACTGGTTCTGACTTACAGCATTTCATATTTAACAGGGAGAATTACGGACACCCAAGTTCAGTGTAGCCATGAATTGCACATTAAGGTATAAATAGAGTTTTTAAGAAATAAGCTATATAATAAAATAAGTTTACTTTTGAATCGCAGTACAGTTATTTTCTTCAATCAATAAAAATATTCCTTGATTATAAAGCAGCCTTATTTTGCAAATGCATTTCAGGAAAATAGCTCTAGCAATATCTGAAATACCACAATATTTTTAAAAAGGCAGCAAAGCACCGGAATTTAGATTTTAACTAGTATATTGCAAAATAGTTCAACATATTATTCCTAAGCACAAAGCAAGCTCCAGTCTGAAGGAGACTTTTAATTTTATAAAGCAAACTGTTCCGATATTTCTGTGGTAAAGTCTAAATATCGACAATCAAAGATAAAGCTTTATACATACAGGACATAAACTTCAATACATATCCACGACGTAAACATTCTGCATTATTACAGGACTCTATTGTGAAGCTTAGTTTGTTAACATGTGCTCAAAAAGGAAAACGAAAACACGATGCAGTTCTCTAGCTTTCTAACAGACTGAATTCTGCAACAACTGAAAATACAAGAACAGCAATGATAGCAGAGAACACCAGTCTTATGAATAATGAAACAAAAGAATCAAGAAATCATAAACATTTAAATGAATAACTACTACATTCTTCCTAACACATCTTAATTTGCTCTCCTCTCTTAAATATAACTTTTTAAAATGTTTTTCACATCCCAGGAGGAATTGATGGCAAATTCTCCACAAAGATGAAAGTGCATCATGTTTTAAAAGTGCTTCATGTATGGATGTGTG